CCAGATTAATGTAAATCACAGTCCAGATTAATGTAAATTTTCATGAAAATTTTGAAAATGTCTTCAAAAGTAAAATTATGTGAAGTGATTGAACAATGAAAATTATTTGCACATTGCAAACAGCACTTACATTTACAACCCACGTTTATTACCAAAAAAGGGTCAAACTGTGCAAAATCAGCTCTTAAATAATGCAAAATAAGTCATTTATCACACAAAAGTTTAATCATGTAAATATTTACTTGAATCTTCATTTGAATCTTCTTACTATTATCAAGATTTTACTACATTTTTCTCACTTTGATTTTCTTGAAAAATTTTGTCTCATCTGGATCAGAGGCATGTAGCTTTAACCTGTTAACTTCTATAGTTCAATAGAGTTTAGATAATCTTGTTATTATATTGCTTTTCATACTAACACACCTTACAATTTTTAAAGCTCTTACTAGAAACAAACAGTTAAATAAGCTTATATATAAATGTGTTCGGCCAAACCCTGTAAAAATAATCCTTTGCTTTATCGTCTGCCGTTGAATTTTCTCCAACAATAATATATCTTAGTTAAAATTGTTTATGTATACATACCACTGGGTATATTGACCCAAAGCTTTTACCTTTCATAACAAACGTTAATATCCTTTCAAATACTTAACGTTTCTTGTTATTATTAAAATTGCTGATTAGTATAAATAGTATAGCTGGAAATATTTAAAATCTGAACTTTTTAAACTTTACCACAAATAATTACATCACTTTGGTCAAGTTTGGTGAGCCTCAGTTTTCCTGAGACAGTTCGTTTTGAATTTGAGTTTAAGAGTCTGAGTGTTTTCTTAAGTACTTGTATTGAGGAGGTAAAATGTATTTGTGACAGTGATTTTCTCATAAAACCAGCTCCTAATCACAGTCCTGAAGAGTCCCTAAACTGTCTAAGTAAATATCAATAATAAATCATTTTTAATTTGTACATGCAACAATGTAAATTTTAGACTTAAAATTCACAATAAAGCAAAGTAAAACATTTTTTCTTTTTTAAACAAATTACAGTGAGTTGCTTTTGGCTCTTGGGTAATTTTGCATAGTGAATTAAATAACAGCCAGGTAGACTGTTTGAAAACGTGACAAATTGAATCTTAAGTCATAGATACTGGAACTTTTATTAAAACCTGATTGATGTTATCATAAAGTTTTGAATTATATATAGTTATCGTTATCAAATCATGTCTTGTATCTGATCCACTGTATATAGACAATCCTCTGTGTTACATATACAATGTATACAAATGTACACTGTTTGTATATTTAAACTTGATAAAATGTGGGACTCCTCAAAAACTGCCTGCCATTTCAGACAACTCTGGTCACAGTTGCAAAATGTAAATATTAAACTAAAATGTCTGCACATTGTTGTTCCTTTATATGACTAGACTAGTTATTAGTGTGAAATTTTTTGCCAATGTTAGTAAATTTGGCCAATGTTAGCAAGTGTGAAAAATTCTGCCATTTATAATCTTGTAAAAAGTTGTGACATGTAGAGAATCCTTTATTTTAGGCCCAGGAAGCCACAAAATCATAAAGGATTGATCATTCAACAAAATATCTCTGCAGCTTAAAGATATACTATGCTCAAACTTGATATTAGAAAATATTGATAATTGTTACACAATTTCTTTGTAAATATAAAAAAACATGTTTTAACGTCACACAAAGTGAATATGTAATGTTAAAAAGTCTACCCACTTGAGCTGGACACAATATGAAAATATAGTGCAATTTATTTTTTTAAAGACCAACTTTACTTGACATGTAATAGGGAATGTGGCTTTCCATACCTTAGAAGTTAGAGTTTTTTCATTCTATTATTCAAATATATTCATATATTCAGTAAGAATTTCATAGATTTCAATAAATTTTTGTCAAAAAATATTTTACTCAAGGATAAGCATAGTATATCTTTAAACAACATATTTATCTTTAAACAACTGAACATATTATGTGTTTTTACTTGCTAAAGGGCCATCATATTCATCGAACATGTAATTTCATCTTACTCATTTATTTCTGATCAGTATTAAACGTATTAGCACTCTTTCTTATAACACCAAACATGGAACAATATGTTTAATAGCATCTAAGATTTGACTAAGAATTATCCGATTACGATGACTCGAGAGATCCTAAATATTTTAGGTAAATCAGAGACGGGATCAATAATTCCGCCTAGGACAATTTCTGTTAAATGACCAGAAAATCATCTCATAAATACAGCATTATTGAGGAAGAAAGCAACAAAGCAGACTGGGTTGCTTCTCCATCAAAATCTTGATAATTACAAGTTTCTTTAACATTCTCGCTTTAAGTTTCCCTTAAGTTTTGCATATTAATAAGATTGCTAATTGACCTTTGTAATTTTCCCCTCGAGCATCTTAATTTCTTGTGTGTGTGTGTGTGTGTGTGTGTGAATGTGTGTAAATGGACATGACGCCCTGCAATTCTAAGACTGAAACCATTCATTTTAAAGTTCTTATACCTCCAGATTATAAAACATATATTTTTTCTGAGACCTCAAGATTTTCAGTGGTCAGTAAAACATTCTGTGACAGTTTCTTACTAAGTCAAAAACCTAAGGTACAGTGTAGGAGATCAAGCTTAAAGAATTCCTTTATAACCTCTGACCCTGGGGTTTCACATGACCAAAAAATTAAACTTAAGCCATAGAAAAGGCATCATGGGATACCCGCGGCCGAATTATTAACATTTATGTTACATGTTAATCAACCGTGGGTATCGGAAGATGTAGAAAAGGTTGTCAGACTCAAATGGTATTGTTTTGCTGACCTGGCATAGAAATTACAATAATAATTTACAAGCTCGCTTAAAGTTTCAATATCATAATAATATTATTCATATAATTCAGTATGTAATGGTGAAATAGAAGTCCAGTATATGTATGATTGTATCAAATAACAGTTTTAATGCTTACTTTCATATTTTAAAGGGTACATGTACTCCCTTACATTCTAACCATATAATTAACTGGGTGCTGAATTTTTCAATTTGAACATGTCCCTTTTTTTTGAGAAACTGTAAGATTTTAGAATCCTGATAATAATTTAAATAAGTTCAACGAACAGAATACCATTATGAATAGGCAGGTAAGACTGAAAAAATGAAAATACCTGTCAGGAAACCATCTATACACTGTTAATACTCATTTATAGGAACAATTATCTTATAAATAATGGACTTCAATTCATTCAGTTTAGAATTCATCTTAGTGCTTATGACTGCAAGTGCTCTAGCATTTTCTGAGAATGACGGAAATCAAACTGTTACAATTTTCCAATGTAGTTACCCCAAGACCTAAATTAATCTTTTAACATAAGCACACAGTCCTCTAAACTTTCATTACCAGCATAGTTATAAATGTTGATATATAATAATATCAGCCTCTTTCCTGTTAGAGACCTAGCTTAGCTGAAACTTGAGCAAAGAATGAATTCTAGAGATGGACATTTCAAAACAAAAATAAACCTGATGAACAGCTTCTGCATTTCTGATTATCTGAAACATATTTAAAGTAGAAATCAGCCTTACTTTACTTACTGACTGTGACTAATTTTATACAATGCAACCTCTGGAGAGAGACCCCCTGTAGAACAAAAACCTGTATTCAGAGGACTGTTGTATTAGGAATTACCAGTCACTAAAACATTGGAAATAGCTTTAATATTTGAATTATATTTTTCACTTTCATTGAAAAACATGTAGTCAGTGGGACCTATATGCCTAGAGTAGAGGAAGCTAAGCTGTAAGCCTGTAAGCTATATAATCAGAGGGAGTATTATCAGTATATCATGGAGAATCTATCTAAATAAATAGCAAAAGGAAGCTAAAATTGAGATATGACTGTACTGAAATCAACAGGTTCAAACAATGTTATATTTTGTTTATCAATAACATCATTTCACCCAAGATAAATATACTGTCATAGATGTAAAGATTGCCTGATAAGAACATAATAATATTTCATTTTATCTACTGGTTCAAGAGATATAATCATATGTATAGGCTAAATTTAATAAAAAAATATTCTACTATGCTAGTTTACATTTGTTTATTTATATTTACTCATCAACTTGTGAGTAGCTATTCAAAGTATAACTAATCTGTATGCATTATACAATTTTATAATTATATTAACAGAACATCTTTTGAACCCATACATAGGAGAGAACAAAACTCAAATCAGCTTTGTATATCATGTAAAAAACAAGCGGATTTCATTGTTGCTGACATTATACAATCAATGTAATAACTCACATATACAGTATACTCAACATACATATTAAACTTTGTCCTATATCTACTACTACTACTAGAGATACAATTTTATGTGGTCAATTTAAATATCAATAGTTTACATATATTACAAAGTATCTGTGTGTAATTATGTAATCATTTGTGACAAAATAATAAAAGTATACACGGATGTGTAACACTATATGTAGACTATGCTCTATTTACTTGACCAATTTTTTGCATGGACGAGTGCCAGATTCCAACACATTAACCACACTAATTCGAGAAATTATGCATAAAATAGATTGAAAAAATATAACGAGTCAAAATATATGTTGCAAAATAGTCTATAATATTAAAGAGCTAGACACCGTTAATGTAGAGATACTAAGGTACGTAAAATCGACACGAGTTTTAAGATTTTTTGATAGCCGAAAATACACACATATTTATACGACCTTGACCTCTCATATACACATGTAAATAATCGATTTTAATGTAAACAAACATGAAAGGATGGAAATAAAAACGTAAATTTTCATGATATTAAAAGTTATGGACACAAAAGAAAGCCCTGTATGCTAATATCATTATAAAACAAGAAATACATTACAGCAGGTGGCGTACTACTTTCTACGGCGCATTCATTTAACCAAGTATTTTTCGCCATTTTCATACAACGACTTTTGATAATTTCATACCTTTTTCCGTCGTAGGAAATGTGTTGAGTTGCTCATCATCGCGCGAAACTTGAGTTATAATGGACGGTGCGTCCATTTAAATGTCCAAAAACTATTAAATCCGTGGTTTTATTTTCGCCATTACATCTATTTAAAGAAATAAACTTCTGTGTAATATGTCAATATACAGACCACCTTATTACTACTGTTATGTGTATTACTACTCTGTTTCTATCCATTATGAATATTAATTAGGTCAAAGATAGTACCACCGACCTATTTAATGTTTCCCGCCAATTTCTTAAGATAAGTAAGAAACGATGTAAAAACTTTGTAGAATCTACTTTTCGTAAACTAAGAAATGACACTTCGATTTTCAGTTAAATAAAGTAGATCGCACCAAAATGTAGGTAAGATTTGCCTTGTGAATTACGGATCCCAGATGATTACTTCGGTACAGGGGCAATGGTAATTATATAATAAAGATTCTTGAATAGCTTACTGGTAATTCGGTCGAATGCCCATCAAATCAACTGATGAAAGACGGAGACTACAATATAATTCATCAAATGGTACAGAGCACATCAGTCTTTTTTTCCAAGATAAAGTTTAATTAAAGCCGTGGTAATTTCATATCAATAAGCTCAATTATTATGATTAATTAGATATTTGTAAACATAAATTTATGGTCTTTGTTTTTATTGAAATAGATCTATGTCTACATGTATGTTTTTGATAGAATCTACTAAATAGATCTATATGTTTTAGTATATGTTAGAGTGCATATATGGTGTTCTTCGTAAATAAGAAAGCTAAAAAGGAGCGGAGCTTGCGAAGCGACTGTAGCTTTCTTATTTACGAAGAACATCCAATATGCACTCTAACCGGCTTAGTGCTCCGCCCACTTGCGTTTTATAATATAAAACGTCCAGTTTATATAAAATCTGTTCTATTAAGATTTGAAACCTGAAAATTTGAAAAATCCTCGTCGGTGATTGGCTTAAAAAATTGGCGAGCACTAATTGAAATTAGAAATCTACTTGTGTTTATTTTTTTTTACATCTACACTAATCTATAACTGGTATATACGTTTAAAATCGATAACTTTTTCGGAGAATCTTTGTTCTTCATTTGATTGATGAAGATTTTGGAATTCCTGAAATCTGGTCCTGTGATTTTTGACATTTCCCTGCACGTGCCATTTTGGCGCCGATACAAAAACATAATAGGTCAAAGTGGTGGGTTGTCAGGTTAGGCCAAAAGGTAGAGCGTTGGACTGTGAATCGGACGACCCGGTTTGATTCCAGGACGGTGCATATTCCAGGACGGTGCATGTCACTTTCGATGTGATTAACCATGAATTCTTTTCTACGGTCATTTGCACTGTAGATCTACCTCTGCTCTGGAATGTACAGAACTTATAAGTTCCTTGTAAAGCCGATAAGGAATAAAAAGGTGGTTGAACTGAGTTCTGGTAAATTCAATGTGGCTTACTGCCATGACTTCATAGAACGTGATTTTAATTGATTATTGCATCAGTTTAATGTATTATAAATCTAATATTGTAGACCACAAACTCTATAAACTATTTATAAAAATTAAATTTATAAATTTAAAATGATATTTTGTTTAATCGATGTTGTGTCCCAATACATCACGACTTTATTTACAAAATGTGAATACATGAAAGAAAATAAGTGACAAAATAACGCTTTATTTCTAGAACAAGATGGGGTTTTTTCCCTCATCCATAAAAAATTGTCACAGAGACAAATGAATTTAAAATAGATTATGGATATTAGCTGGAACATACGATACATATAGTACATCCCAGATATTAGATTAACGATAATGTTGATTACCTGCCCTTTTTGAACAATAATTTATGATGAATCATGGAGAAATATTTTTCCTTTCAAAAGGTTTTAAACAACGGATTATTTTATTTGATAAAAAAACTTTTCAAGGGAAAAATAATGCCTAATACTGATTAAACAGCAATACTATTGCCAGAAATATTGATTAAGCTAGAATGATCTGCTTTGAATTAATTAAGATAGAAATTGCTATGCCAACAAGCAATATAGTTCTGTGTTCCGAACATATATATTACAGCTGTAACAGATTTATGCCATGTTAAAATAATGAACTCCATTTCAGATGGTTTACCGCAAAAATGCTATGCCATGTTCAACTAACACACTACAAAGTATGAGTTTCTAACTTTCTACTATTCGTATACATGTATGTTTATCTATAAATGGCTATACGAAGATTATTTGGCTTCTCAAGCTAAAACTCACTACGGGCGGAGCAGTTATTGTATTGCACCAGTGTCATAATAAGGTCATACAATCTGAAACATATTTTACGAAATTTGCATGTCCCTTTTCTAAAAGATACAAAAAAAAATGTTTTGGGTAATTTCGAGTTTTTCTTAAAAATATGTCTGGTCGAATTGGAATTTTGTTTTTACTAAATTATAACATTGGTTATTTTAATGATAAAAATCACGCTAAATGCACAATATTTTTCCACACCCACTTTCACCATAAGGCAGTACAAACTGTATAAATGTCTATGATTATCAGACTGATACCATTGTTTTATAAAAGACATATCATGTTAATTTGAAGAATGAAACAGTTACAGTAACAAATAGCCAGCCCATCATTCTGTACATGTACTTGATTTTTCAAAACCCACTGGGTCTCGACGGTTAAAATGTTTTGATGAAACATTCCATGGAAAGCTTCTTTACGGCAAATTATTCACTTTTTGCTTGCTCCCGGTCCATCCATACATTTTCTACATGCGGTGTTTTGCCATTTTGCGGTACTGTTTTCGTGGCCCAACGAGGTCAACTAGTACTGCCAATTGTTTCAAGTACTCACTGGGAACCCAAAATCTTTGGTTGCGAAACTTTGCGCAAACATTTGGTAAAGCAAGTCTTCGCGGCCTGCTATTTCTGTATATCTACATTATATTTACAAAGAAGCTTCGTTGAGAATTGACGTTTCATGATCATAAGCACATAGTTTGAAACCTGATGGTTTTATTGTCTGGCCGAAGTGCTAAGAACTTTAACATCAGCTTTACCGAATTCTTGATCCCTCGTGCTTGCCTTCATATAAAGTTTTCACGTGCCCTTGCACCATACAACGACTTTCCGCGCGCAAGTACATTACATCCGGGTTTCTCATTTATTATATTATTTATTTATTCATCATCATCATCATCGATTACTTAGGGCGTGCATTAATTAGGGATAAAAGTCGAAAACATTTACGCAAGGTCTAAATATCACTGGAAATTCACACGTTAGATAATTAAAATGAAATACATGTGTATATTACATAGTCACATATTTATTTCTTCAGTAAATTTCTTACAATGTCAAAAAAAGTGCGGCTTTAAGTAAAACAACCGGTCATTTTATTAGTTAACGTTAGAATTAAGCAAATTCTTTTAAAACTAACGTCCCTTTAAAACCATATCGTTAGGTTCTGTTGTTGAATGGTATCTTTTTTTTTGTTGGATTTAAGTCACAATGACACTTTGTAAAGGTCATGAAAGCGACACCTTGCCAAAATTGAGCACCTGATCAACTTCATTCTATTGAAATATGACATACTTTTGACAGACAGCCATTAAAGAACTTGAACTGCGGATATATAACCTTTAATAATAATGCAATTATTTTGCTAACGTAATTTTTGTTGTTTGAAGGCTGTATTTATCTTATGTAATATCATTAGTTATTACTTAGAGAATTTTTTTAAAACCTCAGACCCTGAACAGGACGATTCTGATTTAAGAATGGCAGCTCCTGTGGGCTTACAGGGACTCCACTAAGGTTTTTGACTGGACATAATTTTTTGAGATTATTACTCCATTTGATGTAGATCTATACTAATAAGTTATGTGCAAAATTTCAGATCATTAGATTTCCTAGTTATATCTTATTTATATTTCTGTTCAAAGAGCTCATGTTTATCTATGTGAAAATTGATATGTTATGTTTTAGTCTTATAAACCTCAGTGGAGTTCCTTTAAACTTTAAAGGGTCTCCACTGAGGTATTTTGACATAACGGGACTGGAAAGATTTTCAAGATTGCGTTTCTATTTAGTATTGGTCTAGACAAATAACTTGTGTGAAAAATTTCAGATTCATTCACTTACTCGTTTTCACTGAATAATTATTTTATTTGTGTGAAAAAAACAACCTAAAATGAAAAACATTGCAATGCTTTTAAATCAAATTAGCATAGGAATAGCTGAAAAATATGATTTTCAATATTTTCTATGGATATTTTTAGCTCACCTGTCACAAAGTGTCAGGGTGAGCTTTTGTGATCGCTTTTCGTCCGGCGTCCGTCCGTAAACTTTACTTTAAATGACATCTCCTCATATAAAACCACTAAGCCAATTTCATCCAAACTTCACAGGAATGTTCCTTTGGTGGTCACCTTTAAAAATTGTTCAAAGAATTTAATTCCATGCAGAAAGAAAGAAAAAACTTGAAGTATCTTCTTTTAAAAAACCCAAAGACCTAGAGCTTAGATATTTGGCATGAAACATCTTCTAGCGAGTGTCTACCAAGTTTGTTCAAATAAAAGCCCTGGAGTCAAAATTGGCCCCGCCCCAGGGGGTCATTGATTTTCCCTATATGCATATAGTAAAAACTTTAAAAGAATCTTCTTTTAAAGAACCCAAAGAGCTACATCTAAGATATTTGGCATGAAACATCTTCTAATGAGTGTCTACCAAGTTTTATAAAATAAAAGCCCTGGGGTCAAAACTGGCCCCGCCCCAGGGGTGTCATTGTTTTAACTATATGTGTACAGTAAAAACTTAAAAAATCATCTTTTAAAATACTCAATGAGCTAGAGCTTAGACATCTTCTTGTGGGTGTCTACCAAGTTTGTTCAAATAAAAGCCCTTGGGTTAAAATTGGCCCTGCCAGGGGAGGGGGGTAGATCATTGTTTTTCATTATATGTGTAGTAAAAACTTAACATCATGAAACATCTTCTAATGGGTGTCTTCCAAGTTTGTTCAAATAAAAGACCTGAGGTTTAAACTGACCCCGCTCCGGGGGGCCTATATACAGGTGAGCGACCTCAGGGCCATCATGGCCCTGTTGTTTAATTACCTTCTTATCATCTCCGGGACGCCTGCAGGACAGACACCTTATTTCCGGGACAATCCCGGACATCTGGGACTTTATGGCATGTATGTAGCTTTTTGTTTTAATTGCTCCAGCTTATCTATGTCAGAAGATAGGTTTTAGGTTTTTATACCTCAGTTGAGTCCCTTTAACTGGAATGATTGCTTTTAAGAAGTGAATCAAGTTGGCATATATAATCTATATCAGGCTTTATTTTCACTTCTAACATTCAATACAAGTATAAAATCTGTCATGAATTGCCACTTCATCCACAAAAATGTATATAGGCATGCCGGAAAAAAAAGAACTGACAAAGTTTCCAAGACCTTTTAGGAATTGACAACAAAATGTAATAATCTTTTCATCATACCACTTATACTAAAACAAACATTGAAGGATTCCAGTTTCTGTGAGTTGCGAAATATATATTTTTCTTTTTTCTTGCAAAACATAAAGACAGTCAACCTAAAAACAGCTGAAAAAGTTGCATCTTAGTTTAATCATATTGGCATAAAATTTATCTTTATCACACACACACACAATAGTTACTACAAACCGGTAAAACATCTAATAATCTTCCTGCCGCACATAAAAAATGAAAATTGATATCGCCTGTCTTTCACATAGTGTCATTAATTACCCGATCCTTTTTTGTAATATAATCTTTATTTATCTATTGTGCATTTGAAATTATTCAATGTTATGTTTATGGACTTAAATATTAAATTTTCGATTGTTCAAAAAACAATTTTACAATTTGGGACAAAATATAATGGGATAAGCAACTACTGACTAATGCAGCTTCTTGGACATAATATAAGACAAGCAACTGTTTGTTTACTAATTCAGCCTCTGAAGGATTTGAATAAAAACTATGGATTCACTCAGCACTAATGAGTCGATTTTTTCCATATCAAAAAGCCGGGGGGGGGGGGGGGTGTGGGGTGGGGGGGGGGGGGGTATTAGGGAGGGGCCGTTTAATTGGAAATACATTTTTACACAGTTTACTATGGGCCAAACATTCTCTTTCACACTGATCAACAAAACAAACAGTGGGACATGTGAACCTGGTTGGAAGGGGAAAAAACACAGCACTAATCTCAAGTTGCATGTCCCCATTATATTATCACATATTACATGTACATTGTGTATGTCCCTGTGTTAAAGGAAGACACAAAAAAAATAATTCATTTCTTTGTTTTGAATTTTTCATTCATTAATCTGTAAATGTCCTCAAAATGAATACATTAGGCAGTCACAAGAACAAAACTTTTTCCCTTATGAAAGCATGATATGGTAGTTTCCTAACTTGACCCACATGGGTCCGGTTAGAGAGTTAAGATTTCACAATAGTTGTCACGGTGAACTCTAGAAAGGTTAAAGAACATGTCAAATGAATGACTTACTTGAAGTTGTTTTAATCATACAATATCCATAATATATGTTATTGTAACTTCCAGGGCTTGTTTAAGTCACATGACTTGTTTTAAAACTACTCCATGATTCTGTCTGGTCTAACTGTCGTTCAACATATATAGGCATATTTATGCTTCAAATCCAAAATATATAGAATTTATATAGAAATTCATGATGGGACTTTAAAAAATGCCATTTTAGCGTGGTTCAAGTACATAAGATCATTTGAATATTTTTGTCATAAATATGCCTGAGTATCCCTTTAACATGGGCCTCATGCAACAATAAACAAACCAAGCATTATAAACAATTAGTCACAAAGATATAAATTCTATATGCTTTAAAGTGGCTTTTCGCTTTTCTAAAGGTTAAATATGTTATTTTTAGATAAACAATTTCATATAATTGTCAAATCAAAAGAATTAAGGTGTAAAATGAAATTTAGGGTCCATAAAATACATAAACAGTACCAGTCAGCTCTCTATATGTAAATTGGCAAGGCAGACGATTTATTTCTAGATCTTCTTTTTAGAAACAACCATCGCTAGCACCTTATAAATAGCTACCGGGACACTGTTTTGAAGAAGGCCTAACAGTGATATGATGTGCTTTTCAAATAACTAAAATATTTAGTTTCAAACAACAAAAAAATTGTTTTTCCAACAAAAATAAAATCTGGGTTTTCATTTATAGTGAAAGAAATCAATTAATAGTAGCAACTATTGTTTTATACCTTCAAAATGTCTGGCTTGTAAGTAAAGTAAAACTGAATGTTGGATTCTGATTAAGCCCGCAGTTGGGGGCAAGGACTGTAGTCTGCACTTAAAACTATCGTCCATGAACATGCTGAATCAAACAGCCTGCAACATTTTCAATTTTTGCAGTTTTTGGCATTCCTTTAGATTTCTATGAACACGGATCATAAAAATGATTTAACATAAAATATTTCATTTAGATACAATATAATTGAGCCGCGTCATGACAAAACCAACATAATGGGTTTGCGACCAGCATGGATCCAGACCAGCCTGAGCATCCGCGCAGTCTGATCAGGATCCATGCTGTTCGCTTACAAACCCTATAACAAGTAAAGATACTGATAGCGAACAGCATGGATCCTGATCAGACTGCGCGGATGCGCAAGCTGGTCTGGATCCATGCTGGTCACAAAGCCATTATGTTGGTTTTGTCGTGACGCCGCTCAATTATATGTAATAAGTTGAAATTCTCAATTTCACAAAGTAACAAGTCATCATGAATTCTGTGCATCGGAGTTAAACGCACCCTGCTCCAATTCTTTTAGCCAAGGGAGATCATCTGCAGAGAAGACGTACGGGTCTGCAGTAGCCTCTGTACACTGGGGATCAAACTTTGCTCCAACGGTCCACAGTGTTTCGAGGTCATACAGCTCCCTTAAGGCTGGCATAAAAACATGAAGCACAACATTACCTACAATTAAATAACAACGTTATTTTAATCATTATCCTTTAAAGCAGCATGCCTCCAGATTCATGCTAATTTTTGTGAAAATTTCCAAAATGTATTTAAAAGCAAACTATTTTGAAGTTAACAAAGAAAATTATTTAAACATTGCAAACAGCACTTGCAATCCACATAAATTTCCAAAAAGAGTTCAAAATAACAAGGTCAAGTTCCTTATAATATGTGTAAGCAGACTACAAGTTTGTTACTCCTATACTCATATTTTATTAAAACTAGTTAAGCCGTATTGGAGAATAGGCTCACACAGATGGCCGAACAACAAGATGGCCAGACTTCTGGACAGCCTCAAAGCATTATACCCCCATTAAAAGTTTTCTTTCTTCTCAATACTTGTTAGCAAATATTTATAATTTCTCTTAAAAGTTTCCATTTGTCTTAATACTTATAGCAAATACTAATACTTACTATGGTAACTGCCCGATAACACTTGCCTGATAATTATTTTTGATATCAGGTCAGTAACCTGATATCAAAAATAAGCCCCTCCCATTTTAACGGACTTTTTTCAATTGCTTATATTCTCATTTTTACCAGCATGTGAGTTCTACAATGTAATCTCATACCCTTACAAGTCTTGAATCAAGGTGCGATATTTAGGCCTATTATTTCGATTTCAATTACGAATAAATTAGATAGCGAATAGTTTTAGCTCCAACTAAATGAAGTGACGTCATAATTTATATTGCAAATGACATCATCGATGTTCACGTCATACTACATGTAATCATAACAAACAGGCTAGATGATTTTCATTGAGATCTTGTAAATGTTTACTTTATTTAGCCGGATTATTATTCAATAAGTGAACAAATTGTTTCGTTTAAAAAATAAGACGCATGTTTGTGTAGCTTGTGTTTGATTGCCGATTTGACTTTTCTTTGATTGAAATTATCCTGAACTTTTGAATTTGACAATTTAAGACAAAAATTGCAGTAAAGTTTAGTTTATGTGATTCTAAGTGGATTTTTGGATCGATGTTTAAATTAAAGGTAAGAATTTATTGTATTAGGCCTACAATCTGTTGTATCTTTTATCCGAGTCGAAAGAAAAAATGGCCGCCAATAACAAATTCTAAGTTTCAGAGGCGGAGGAATTTTTTTCAAGAATTATTTCTTTGAACAAAAATCCCCCTTTTTAACGAAATTCGCTATTTAAAAGTAGATTATTCTTTTATTTTGACAGTTGTTATGTGTTACATGATAAATAGAAAAACATGCTACTGTCTTTTGATATCAATTTTATCAGGCTCGGCTAATATGGGCAGAAAGGGCTCGGCAAGCCTCGCCCTTTCTAGCCCATATCAGCCTCGCCTGATAAAATTGATATCAAAAGACAGTAGCATGTTATTCTCTATATAGCAAATACTAATACTTTCAGGTCCAATTTAGGTAATGATTATCTACCTTAGATCAATGTAATATACCCAATAATACACAGTACTTATCACTCACCCAAGTCAACAGCACACCATTCTGAATCCTCTCCCTCTATCCTCATGTATTTGTCTTTTTTGTTCTTCTTCCTTTTGTGCTGAAAAAAACAACATGGGAGATAAACAAAACAAGAGCACCGCTAGGCGGAGCATTATATGCCCGAAAGTGTTTTTTTTTAGTAAGGCTGAAGCATTTGTAAGACATGGAATTCGCTGTTCATCCTATAAAATTTTACAGCTGTAGGTTGATTAATACTTAAGATATTAATAATGACCTTAACCTTTAACCTTGTGACCCCAAAATCAATAGGGGTCTTCTACCTTATATGGACAATCATCCTAAGAAGTTTGAATATTGTGGGCCAATTGGAACTTTAATTATGCTCTAGAAACTGTTTTCAGTATTAAGGTAAAAGTGACTTTGACCTTGTGACCCCAAAATCAATAGGGGTCTTCTACCCAATATGGATAATCATCCTATGAAGTTTGAATATTGTGGGCCAAATGGAACTTACGTTATGCTCTGGAAACTGTTTTTGGTTTTAAGGTAATCGTGACCTTGACCTTTGACCTAGTGACCCCAAAATCAATAGGGTTCTTTTGCCCAATATGGACAATCATCCTATGAAGTTTGAATATTGTGGGCCAAATGGAACTTAAGTTATGCTCAAGAAACTGTTTTCAGTTTAAAGGATATAGTGACCTTGACCCTTGACCTTTTGACCCCAAAATCAATAGGGGTCTTCTACCCAATATGGACAATCATCCTATGAAGTTTGAACACTGTGGGCCAGATGGAACTTAAGTTATGCTCTGGAAACTGTTTCCAGTATCAAGGTAATAGTGACCTTGACCTTTTCCCTTGTGATCCCAAAATCAATAGGGGTCTTCTATCCAATATGGACAATCATCCTATGAAGTTTGAACATTGTGGGTCAATTGGAACTTAAGTTATGCTCCGGAAACTGTTTTCAGTATCAAGGTAATAGTGACCTTGACCTTTGACCTTGTGACCCCAAAATCAATAGGGGTCTTTTACCCGATATGGACAATCATCCTATGAAGTTTGAACATTGTGGGTCGAATGGAACTTAAGTTATGCTCTGGAAACTGTTTTCAGTTTTAAGGTCATAGTGACCTTGACCTTTGACCTTGTGACCCCAAAATCAATAGGGGTCTTCTACCTAATATGGACAATCATCCTATGAAGTTTGAACATTGTGGGTCAATTGGAAGTTAAGTTATGCTCCGGAAACTGTTTTCAGTTTTAAGGTCATAGTGACCTTGACCTTTGACCTTGTGACCCCAAAATCAATAGGGGTCTTCTACCCAATATGGGCAATCATCCTATGAAGTTTGAACATTGTGGGGCAAATGGAACTTAAGTTATGCTCCGGAAACCAAATTGCTAACGGACGGACGGACGGACGTACGGACGGACGGACAGACAGACGGACGCCAGGGGGTATAACATAATATGCCCTTTCAGGCATATAAAAATCAAGGTAGATAAATGAAGAAAAATATTCAATACATTCCAACACAAGGGAGATAATTCAAATAAAATACTCACAATTTTCGTTTTCTCACTAAGGGAGGTAATTCAAATTAAAAAAAATTCTCAAATAAATCGTTCTTTTACAAAGAGAGATAAATCAATGAAAATTTCACTACATATTTCTCTATCTTGCTACAAAGGGAGACTACTCAAATGAAACCTTAATATCTTGCTAAAAGGGAGATAACTTTAACTTATTTTTTCCTGAAATGAGAAACCTTCATATTAATCTTTTAATCATTCTCAAGTTTGCTATAAAGGGAGATAATGCAAAACATTAACCAGATTGTATACATAATAACTTATAAAGACTGGCCTTACTGACTACTTAATGAAGTAAGTGATCCTTATTACCTTTAAGTTGAAAGTTTAACAATAACAACAATTATTGTTATTATTATTACCTTTCATAAGTCATTAAAGCAGCATGCCTCCAGATTCATGCTTATTTTCATGAAAATTTGGAAAAAGTATTTAAAAGTTTAATATTGTGAAGTTAACCAAGATTTTAACTAACATATTGCAAACAGCTCTTAAAATACACATAAATTACCAAACCGAGGTCAAATTGTGCAAAAATAGCTCTTACTGCGGCAGTATTGCAGTAGAAATAGGATGATAAGTACTGATAAACAAGTCATTAAAGGCATGTGACATGTAAATTGTTTTATAATTAAATATTGAGTCTTTTTACTTTTCTTAAAATCTATGTACATTTTCCCCAAGTTTGATTTTTCTTGAAAATATTTTGGCTTATCTGGAGGCATGCAGCTTTAAGAGAGAAAAGTATACTTACAATCCATTTTATGTCAGCTAACATTGCTTTCATATGTCTCATTGATCTAGCACTCACTATCACCATATAGTCAGCAAAATTGAGGTTCTTTGGTACCTCTATTGTGACGATATCTTGTGCATTGGCAGCTCTTAACACAGTTATTATCTCTTCTATTTCAAATACGCCAGTCTTTCCTCCTATAATATTGTTACATGGTAATATGATTAATCAAGCAGGCATTGCTTAGCCATTTAACAGTAGCAAATCAGACCTACAGATGAATGTTAATTCAATTTTTTTTTTTTGAATTTTAAGTAGTCATGCATCCTGCCAAGTGAACAAATTAAGTAATTTGAACATGTACCAGACTCTTACAACCCACCATACTTACTTAAACTTAATTTGTGTCAAAATCTGAGAAAAATACCTGTAAATTTGTTTACTCTTATTACAGCAGTGTACAATATAGTGATTACTTTTATAAAACCAGTCACATTCTGCATATATTATAACCGTTATATATCATGTACAGACATTGAATTTATAGAAAATTTTAAAACCCTTACATAATATTTATTTCTGAAACACTATCCACAACCTACTGAAGGTGAAACTTTATTTAAACATCATTATGAAAATAAACTAGATCCCATTATACACGATTTTTGTAAGGAGTAACCTTTTAAACCCGATCTTCTAATAATTCTCAAGTCTTATTTGCAACATTGACAAATAAGCAATCATTGCCTCCCTTTATGCAACATTGACAAACAAGCAACCATTGCCTCCCTATACAGTGTTTATTGAATAAACCTTATCATGACAAAAATGTTTTTTACTGGAAATCTTTCTAACCTATTTGCATTCTAGTATCTTCCGTTCAACTTTTATATTATTAGTTATAAAGTTTTTTAGACAGCTTATATAGGGTCATAGACATGTAATCTGTCAGGAATCCTTATAATAAGGCAAACTTCAATTTTTAGAGAAAAGTGAGATTTCTTCATAATATGACAGCAGCCGTGTTTATGCAACTATATAAAAGTCATGCATATCCAATGTAAAGCTATGTTACAAATGTGCAGTATAAAACTGTTATTAAATTGCTACTATTCACAGTACTTGATTTTTAAATAATATCCCTATTAAAATTCTAAAAATTTCAAAACACAACTATTCTTACGAACAAAGTCGACAGGTGACTCCCAAGTATAATCATCCTCATCCTCAGCTTCAGCAACATTGACAAAGTCTTCAATCTCTACAACAGACCAATCTATCTTAACATCATCTCTCATTTTAACAACTGCCCAATCCTCCTCTACCATTCTACTTCCACTTATTTCATCTTTCGACTTTTCATTTACACCATCTTCATTTACATCTGAAGATTCTGTTGAATCTGCAGATAATTTATCAGACTCTTTCACCTGATTCACACCATCACTTTCTGAATCCGAATCTTCAAAGTCTTCTTCAATGTCTTCAAGAGATTTAGATTTTTTCAGTAAGTCTATAATTTCTTCAGTTGTGAATCCCTGCTTCTCCAGTTTGTCGAAGTCTTCATCTAAACTAGAATGTAGCTTTTCAATGTCGCTATCACTGTCCATATTATCACCACTACTTGAATTTATTTCATCACTTTTTTCATCAAAAGACTCTGCACTAACAGCTTCTTTGTTTCCCTTCTTAAAGTCTTCTTTAATTTTGTTTATCCACGATTTCACAATTTCATCATCTTTCATATCTGAATAAAGCCTACAGCAAATTCTATAACAAGTTAAATTGAAAGGTTTTACATGACCGGAGTTCATCAATTTTTGGACTTGTAAGCAAGAATACTGATTCTGACAATGAAGTTTTTGGACTGTCCACTGTTTTGACTTACTGTTTATTAGAAAAGTTCTAGAGATCATCTGCGATGAAGTCCTTGCCTTAAGTAAACTGTGCAGACTGCTTTCTACATATATTTTTTGCATCTTAAGCACTGAGTAAGTGGGATACCGCATACACTGTATCAACATTTTGACTTTGTAATTCTGTAAACAAATAAAAGATAAAGCAATATCAACTAACAGTTAACTTATTTCTGAAATATTAATAATTAATACGTTCTAATTTCTGGAATAATATACTACAGGGTTTTTTTCAAGGATTTTGGAAACATGACCGATACCCATGGTGATACCCACGGCATTGGGAATTTCAGCGATGTTTTGTTAAAAATTTGAAAAATATCATGACTGAATTTTTGCAGTGATTAAACGACTGCAATTAATCACTGTCTAGAATGGCATCTTTAAGCATTATACATGTAACGGTGAAGAACCCCTTATTTTCAAAGATTTTAGTATATTTTATTCAGTATTTTTATTTTGTAACTTTCAATTGGCATTTTTTTCCTGTGTATTGGGAAAATAATATACTATTTTCAATTGGGAATATGACTGAATATGACTATATCAGTAAAAATTCTGATACTGCCATAGCATAGATCATTATTTGTGTTGATTTTTCACATTATAAGAATCACATGTTCAAACTTCTGGTTTGTTCTGCATGCATTTGGAATGTCATAAAATATGGGGAAAAAAGCAAATATTTGTTGAAATTGCACTGAGAAAATATTTTAGTAACACCCCAAAATCAAAAATTAAAAATATTTAAAACACAGAACTAAATAGACGCTTAAACAAAACATTATGGTCTAAAATGTCCATCTCAAACATGGGGCGTCCGTGGCCGAGTGGTTAAGGTCGTTGACTTCAAACCACTTGCCCCTCACCTCTGTGGGTTCGAATCCCGACAGGGACTTTGGATTCTTTCATGTGAGGAAGCTATCCAGCTAGCTTACGGAACGTCGGTGGTTCTACTCAGGTACCCGTTCGTGCCTGAAATAATGCACGGAAGGGCACCTGAGGTCTTCCTCCACCAGTAAAGCTGGAACGTCGCGATATGACCTATACTGTGTCGATGTGACGTAAAACCCAAAACAAAAAAAACATCTCAAACATGTACAAAAATCTGATTGAAAATGACCAAAACATCTCGTCTGAAGTGTCTGGTCCAAAAAAGTCTGTGGTCAGGAACCTCTATAAATTATCTGTTAAGTTTAAGATTGGACTTTGGCTTGCCTGGCTATAGACTACCAGGTATATTATCTGTCATATGTTGCGGTTCAAACCAGAATATCCGTCCCAAGGATACCACACCCACTGGACAGTAACATGCCTTGCCAAGTTATCGCCCATGGGTAGGTACCCAAGGGACGGACCGCAAACATGTCATATATTTTTATTTCATATATTCTACCTTATTCTATCATGGTTTAAATTCTTTACCTCAATATAACAATTTTCCATGGAAATTAATGTCATATCATCCATAACTATTTCCTAACAATAGTTGTGAATTTACCTGTTTACATCACATAAACGGCAAAATGACTTCATCATAGGCGCATGGTTTCTTTCTAAATGTCACGGTTCAGAACTGTTCACTATTATAACTGGGGGAGAAGATGTGTAAGCGGCCGGATAGCTCAGTCGGTAGAGCCGCGGAACGGTATTCCGAGGGTCCCGGGTTCGAGTCCCAGTCAGGCTGCACATTTTTCTCACCATGTGACATTTGGCGCCCAACGTGGGGCCGTGACTGAATATAGCTCAGAGTTTAATTCACATTGCTCTGTAACTCTGTGAAATTCGAGGACAAATTTCATTATAGCAGGGGAGTATGTCACGGTTCAGAACTGTTCACTATTAAGGGGAGAAGATGTGTAAGCGGCCGGATAGCTCAGTCGGTAGAGCCGCGGATGGGTATTATTTGAGGACGAAACGGCTACAGTGCGAAACTGCATTACCCTAGGACCAACGTGTCCATTTACAGAGAATAACAAACAATTTAAACAATGGCATCATTGCTAAGTAGATATATTGTATAAATTATCTATGATGCAAACAACAATATAGTTTTCAAAACACAACTTATGTCACATTTTTACCTTACATGCATAGTAAGTACAATTTCTATCACTTTTAGTCAATTCGAGCGGCTTGAGATTGAACACCACTAAAATTGTCTTTCATGGAATGCAGACAGTGCTCGCATAAGAAATTGTAAGCCACTTTTATTTCAAAGAAGTAAAAACATTACGAAAGCTAAAGTGTATTGTTTAATCTTTGAGAATATTTAGACTGGGTCTGGATTTGACTTAATATGGGAGATTATTCCAGTACCTGAGAGTTCAGAGTACATAGAGTATGAGAGAAGTAGGAAATGAGGTGATAATTTGATAGGGGACCAGAAAGTTCAAAATTCTAGTTGGGATGAGATGGTTATGATCAACATATACATTATTGTGCTGTATTTTGTAAAGAAATATAAGGGAGAATTGTCGTCTGCTGCTTTGATTCAGAGTCAACTCGTCCTCTGGTCAACTCGTCCTCTGGTCAACTCGTCACCTTTTTGGTCAACTCGTCCCCTGGACAACTCGTCCTCTAGTCAACTCGTCCCCAACTCGTCCCTTATATTTTATCACTACTTGTTTTTCATATAGTTCACAAATCATTATAGACTGTTAAAATAATATATTATAAAATTACTGAATTGGACATATTTTGACGCTTTTTGTATGCGAATATTTGGAATTCCATCTTATAATAAGGATATATATATGCATAAGTCTGATTAAATTAAATTACAGAAAAGAACAACACGAAGACGATCAATAGCAATAACATTTAATTTATAAAAACATGTTTTATATGCAAAGATAAAATATCATATCGTATGTCAATATTATGTCATACATGTATATATAGTCACTTTCACTTTCACACTTTCATTGTTTTTTTTCCCATGCACATATGTCATTGTTGTTGTTTTTTTGACATCTTACAACTCTACTCTTGGGGCTTGTATAAGTTGCCGAACTCTCTCAAAAGTCCTGTTGAAGATAACTCCCCATTCCTGTACTTATCCCACAGCTGGTGAGTCTGTCCCTGAAGATATGTGTACTTTTTGCGCTGGTAGCGGCGAAGTCTTCCTTCACTTATCAATTCCGAGTTCCTCACCGCTACCTGGGCCTCATCGTAGAGCAGTTTTATCAGAAGGTAAAATGGAGGCGTTCCCCCAGCCCTCCCATTCAATCTTCTATGCCATCCTATAAAATAATAGAAGTATATTACAATACCAATAAGATAGGGACAGGTCAACTATAATAGATATATTTATCTCTTTAATGCGGCGATGTATGTGTCCATGAATGCATTTCGAAAATTCGCTACAATTTTGGCTAAGACATATTTTTTTATGTATGAGAAGTATGACTGCTACCATGTATACAGTCTATTTCAAATATCTAATATTGTCATAATATTTTAAAATGTGATTTTACCTTCAACATCGTTGTTGGTGCGGATGCTCAATCCAAACACCGACCAAGAATGGACTGGCCACATATCATTGTCGATCCAGGTCCGTCTAATGTAGGCTAACAGTCCATCAAAACGGTCTGGAGCTAAGTCTGCCATAGACTCGAACACAGGACCAATGTGTTCTGCAGGAAGGAATGGCAGACACAGAAGTTTTCTGATGAAGCGGTGTGCCCCTCGGTGACTGACATACTCGGCAGACAGGCCTTTTTCCTGTAAAAAAAAATTAGTTTCAGAATACGTTCAAGAAAAATAAAAAAATACAATTAGTTTCAGAATATGTTAATCTAATTTCTAAATATGATTCATTAAATCAAACATATCATCATTATTTTACAACCAATAAATAAATATAATTGACACAATTGATACAATGACCTAAATTATCGTAATTTGATAATAGGATTAACGACACAATACCACTGTGGTTGGATACGTTTTTATATATTTAAAGAACGCGTGTCTTTAATTTGAAATTATACAAATCGCGTGAAAATCGTGCCAAAGGTTGTTATAAAAATTTATTTTCCAAATGTCGAATTTGATTTGATGGTGTATGGTCAAATATATGAAAATGTTGATTAAATACAACTAATACATTCAATATGTTGACTTGTATTATACAAGAAATTCTGGAACTCGGTTTTATACAGCTCCTCTTTAATATCAATTTAAAGATTTATTTATGGAAATTGAATATTAATCATGATTTCAATCAGTTAATATCCACTGCAAATATTATTGTACGGATTTTTTATTTAAAAAAAAATAATGAAAAAAAAAAAAAAAAATAAATACTAACTCTTTCAAAGGCATGTATGTATATACAACTCCTATGACAATAATGGACCATAATATTACAATAAAATGCAATTTAGAAAAAAAAACTTAATAAATTCTTTAAATATTCTTTGACATTTTTTAATCCAATACACTATATACGATCATTTGGAATTGCAAGATCATTTGTCTGTTAAAAATGAACATAAACATTACAAATGACTAACCTGTATTACAACTTCTGTGTTGCCAGTGTTCACAGCGCTCACACTGAAGTGCTTGCTGATTTTTCCGCACATGTTTCCTACAATCAATGCAGGGGTACATTGTCACAATTAACAACACTAATCAATTAAAAAAATCACAATCAACAACACAAATATTTAAAATTGTCACATACACCGTTCACATGCAGTCCACAATCCAACAATATGGAATTCTAAGAAATGATTGATATGCACAAAAAAATAATCCAATGTTCGTATAACGTACAACGCAAATGTGTTTTTAAGAATAAATCTTATATTTATCAGGGAAACTTTTATATTGACAAGTTCCCAACAAACAATTATCATGTTTTTAATTGACACGATCCTTCTATAATGAGATCAATACGCACCGACATAAAGTTTTTAGCACTTCTAATTTCTGTTAATCTGTCGTCAGTCTTTAATCCATTCAGGGAGGCGGAAAAAATCAAAGAGTTGGACCTAATTTTAGTTTTAATTATCATTAAAACTCCGATTAATTAAACATTAATTGAATGTTTGTAAACTTACCTGTCTTTGTAGTTTGACATCAAAGCTATGCACGTGCGCTTAGATAAAGATCATTAAAATTTAACGTAAAAAAGACGTAATTATTTTATTATTAATATTTCGATATCAATCAAATTCAGTATTAATTTTACATATTTTACATAAAAGAATTATTTAAAGACATTTTAAAGACAGAGATCGAAAGTAGGGGACGAGTTGACCATATTAGGGACGAGTTGACCAAAAGTAGGGGACGAGTTGACCAAAAAGGTGACGAGTTGACCAGAGGACGAGTTGACCAGGGGACGAGTTGACCGGATTGCGCTGCTTTCTAGGGGGACCCATTTAACATTTTCTAACATCTGAGTCACACTGGAAATTTGCACACTTTAAACTTTTGAGGTTAGAGGTTTCTGCCAAGGGTGCCATTAAAATTAAACATACTCTAGTTGAGGTCTTACATAGATAGTCTGACGTTTTGATTAATCTGTTTTAGGTTTTAATGTTTCTTTGGATAAATCTTTTAAAAAGAGTTGTTTTTTTTTGCTTTGGATGCTATGTTATTTTAGTATTGGGCCAAGTTTAGATCTTTAAAGATGATAACTCCAAGGTACTTCACTTGGCTGTTTCAGTAATAATGATAATTCAATAAAGTAATTTATTATGACGGGTTTCCGGGAAAATGGTATGGTTCCTTTTTCGGGTCATCCTAAGCACCTCACACTTTTCTGGGTTGAGCATCATAGCACAACCCCATTCCTGCATTTCCAGTTTAATAAGCCTTAAAGGTCATTTTGTAATAAGTCCACGTCTGATTGCCTATTGATTGTCATGTGAACTATAGTGTCACCACAAATTACCTCTTTTACTTTTGACCGTTTCTGGCAGGTCATTAATAGATATATATGCCAGAAACAAACAAGATCCAATGACTCAGCCCTATGGGCACCATGGCATATAGCATTGTTAATTCGTTTGAGATATGACCTTTAATCGCAATTCTTTGGCTCTGCTTGCTCAGAAATGACTTGATCCTGATGTAAACTTGCTGGTTACATCCATATTCTCAAGTTTGTAGGCTAGTTTGTGATGGTCAACTTTGGCAAAGGCTTTTGAGAAATCAATAACGATGTTGTCAGTCTAATTGTCTTTTGACATGACTGGGAGAAACTCAGCAACTGAGTTTCACAAATACATTTAGACTGAAAACCATTTTGGTAGTGCCTAAGGATACTGTACTTATCAGAGTACATTTGTAAGTCATCAAGTTTGAGACAATGATATGCTCCATTAATTTACTATTAATAACATTATTCATATTAATTCATCATATCTAAATTTTTTGTACACATTTGATCAAATAAAATTGAGATCAATGACATGTTATTCTCCCATGCTGTTCATATGAAAAAATTCTTTTAAGTATACTCGTAATATATACTCATATGCGTAAATAACATTATATACTAAAATTTGTAGTAATTCCAGTCCAGTCGCTGTCAGAGGCCATCAGTTGTCTCTCGATATTTAGTACCATACAACCTGTTTATACAAGCGTCGCATTTACTCAGATCATATTTGGAGAAGAGAAGACGAATTTTTACGTTTTAAATTGCAATGCTATATTCTTCAATGGTAATTTGTTTTATTTAAAGAAAAATCATTTTATAGCATGCAGATGCAATGTTTAACCCTGACTTGTTTATATTGTACGGAATTTTGTCTATTATTTATGTAACTGTAGGTATGTTCGGATATATTCATGTTCGTACAAAATTGGGATGGTGTGAACAAATAAAACATATTATTCCGGTTTCTCATACTTCCGTCTTATTCAATTGGTTAACAACCAAAACAAAAGTTATTTTGTCGGAATGACATGTCAATTTCGTCCTCTGTGCATATTTTTTTCTATCTTTCACAAATGTCGAACCCCTCATCGAGGGGGACAAAGACATGTCAGCACGTCAGAATCGCAAGAAGGTTAAAAGAATTATTTTAAAAGAGGATAAAAGAATATTGAAGATTTAAAAAACAGGGGGCTTGAAAACAAGGGTGGGATATGTTCATTGCAAGTTGTGGCTGGACTGAACTGCTCTGGGTAGCAACTGCAGGGGGTATACTGTGCTCCTCTTTGTTCGCGGTACTTAACATTTTGAAATATGAAAGAAAATAACAAATTTAACTTATGGTACAAAAATTGTCATAAGCTGCGACATACAGGTATTTTCTACTGTATGACAAAAGGAAACAACAGTATATTCAATCAAAATCAATTCTAATGGACCAGACATAGACCATATGTCAGCCATTTAGAAGACAGTATGTCATCATTTAAATCGCCATAAATGGTGTTACACTTAAGTTTTGTCATGTTTCAGTTTAAATTTCTACATGTCATTTTGCTTGATTTTAAATATTAAAACTATACCTTGTAACTCAAAATTTAATTTTTCAACAAACAAGAACATTTAGAAAAATAATGATTGTTTCAGACGTATACACAAATTTAATGGACTGTTGTTGCTTTTTTCAGAAATTTGTAAAATGTTCAAATGTTTTGTTTTACGTAAAAATCTAAAGATTTTAAATATTTTGCACGTTTAGGTGTATGAATAAAATATGTCAATTCTGACCAATTTTAACCCTTGTCTCATGAAAATATGTCATTACCGTGAAATAAGTGATGACGCGGAATTAGTGATGTTGAGTATATGTTGTTGTACAATGGTATACTGCCCTAGAAAAGAAAGTGAATTTATAATAATCTGAAGTTGCTGTGAGTAACCTATAACACAAGAGATGGCCATGGCGTGATGTTCAGACCTGTAATTTACTGAGTATTGGTCTGTATATTTTTATTAATAATAATTACATGTTGTATTTGCATGCAAGAATTCAGATTCAACGTTAATGTGGCCTATTTTCTCCCAATTTCTTTTTCCTTTTGCAGAGCAGTGATTAATTTTTCAATTTTCAAAACAACCTGCTGTTTTCTGAAAAGGAAATTATACCATGATAAACCAGAAAAGGGGGAAAACCTGAAATCAAATTCCAACAACTGAGAATGGATTTTACCCAGAGTTATGAATAACCTTTTGTGTTATTAAGACATAAATTATTTCATTAAAACATTTGTGATTTGTTAATCTAGCAGATTGGGGGTTTACTTAAAACCAAGGCTTGATATGGTTCATGGATATTTCTGCTTTATTTTACCAGTGGGTCCACTCAAAGACTATATACAAATATTTACATACGGGTCTGTATACCACTGTATAAGACTGTACAAAACCTTATAATACTGTCTGGATATAAAGCAATAGTTAAACAAAAAGTGTTAACCATTTTTGATATCAATGATATCAATTAACCATTTTTGATATCAATAATATCAAATGTACAAGATATCAAAGAGATATCATATATCAAATATTCAAATATTATACAAAATACAATATTAAGTTATCAAAGATGCAAATAGCATTATACATTACTAAATTAACTGTAAGCTAATAACTGTATCCTTACTCTATGAATCCAGAACAATACAAACATTATAACCATAAACTTTATAATACATTACACCAAAATAATAAGATTAAAGATTAAAATATCAAATACAGATGATGTCTTGTGGTGTAGAGGTACACCATGAACTGAAGTTAAACATGGCAGCTTCTCCTACAATTTTATACCATGTGACCACAAGCACTTGAAACGCAAGTTCCGATTGGATAAGACAAATCGAAAGAGCCAATCAAGAATAAAGAAAGTCTGTAGGAAATATTGATTACAGTTCACCTTTACAAACTTTAAAGACCCACCATGTCGGATTCAATAAATGATTTAAAGACCCATCATGTTTAAAAAATGATAAATAATGAAAAGTTAAGAATTTAATAACTTGTTAAAATTCACATCTGCTATACTAAGACCAAATAAGCAATGAGAAAAATTAATCTCATAACTTGAAACTTATTCATGTAAGATGTTGTATGAAAATGTGTTTTCAAATGATTGAAGAAAGTTTGTCTGAAAAGAAATAATTTTTGCGTGACTGATTGTTTGTGAATAATTTCAATTCACAAAATTGCAAATATTTCCACGATACAAAATTAACCACTTATACAGTAAGTAGTTGGTCATTGAAAGCTGTCATATTGTTAAACATGTGATTTGGTAACTGTATTTATTTTATTATAGGAGGTAGATGGCCAGACCGGCTGGTATGATACCCTGCACAATGATGAGCCTGATAAATGGCAAGAGGCCTTAATGTAAGTATACATATGAGCCGCGTCACAACAAAACCAACAAAATGGGTTTGCGACCAGCATGGATCCAGACCAGCCTGCGCAGTCTGATCAGGATCCATGCTGTTCGCTATCAGTTTCTCTACTTGTTCAAAGGTTTAAAAGCAAACAGCATGGATCCTGATCAGACTGCACAGATGTGCAGGCTGGTCTGGATCCACACTGGTCGCAAACCCATTATGTTGGTTTTGTCATGACGCGGCTCAATTATGTAGACAGTGTATGATATTTATAGCCAAAAGTCTGTCCAAGATGATTTGTTAAAATGATTACCCTCCATCAGTTAATGAAATCATAGACTTATTTAATTCTTAATTTAGAAAAGGCTTTAACTGTAATGTTTATGAGGAGTACATGCTATAGCTTGGGTAGAATCTGATAGATTTATTTAAGAAATAATAAATTATTAAATGACAAAAACCAGTATGCCATTTAAATACAAAACCACCTCAGTCAACACTTTATGTTATGAATAACACAGTAAAAAAAGTTTATAAGTTATCTATATTGTTTATGCAGGGTGTTACATGGTACCAACACAGTATAGGTGAAGGAAGACATCAGGTGCCCATCCATGCATTATTTCAGTCACAAACGGGCACCCGAGTTAGGAACCACTGACGTTCAGTAAGCTAGCTGCATTCATGCAGATATAGTATACATCCAGTTTTAGTTTGTGATCTTGACACTGGTCTACTTACCTGACAAAATGCATATGATTGTAAAGCCTACAGGGGCATTTATAAAACAATATATAAAATATTTTGTCCTATAATGTTATTATTACAGATGGATAAAGAATTCTGTGATTGGAAATAACAAGCAGAAAGCTAATGCTATCAACCATGGGGCTGTTCCAAGGTATATTAATGGATATATAGTACACAGGGGAAGATTGCACAAATGAGCCATGTTTTAGATTGTATCCCTTAAATTGATTGGGTAAAATTGTACAATTGTAAAGAAACTCTTTTTCTTGATGAATAGGCATACAAGGTACTGATATAGAAACATTACACAAAGAAGACAAAAAGGTCAAAAAAGGACTTAAGTTAAAGGCCATTACTCTATGGAGGGGAAACTGGTGCCGTAACATTATTTTTTGATGATTTCTGATATCTACCACAAATGTACAAATTTAAGCATTATATATATTATGTTTTCTAGGTTACTACAAATGTAAATATACATTTGTAAGAGCATAATACAAGCATACATTCACTATGTTTTCTAGGTTATTACAGTGGTTAGTGGATGAAGATGCCCCACAGCAGATAAGAACAGATGCAGCCATTGTGATGGGATCTATTGCTAAAGGAACCGTAGACAATATAAACACCCTAGTGGAAGAAGGCAGTGTCTCTGTACTATTCAAAGGTTCTGTTGTACAGCATCATGTTTTTTTTTGTTTTTTTTTTTTAATTTATTTTTTTTGGGGGGGGGGGGGTTGGAGGGGAGGGTTGTTATGTTATAGTTATGTTATAGTTTTTCAGGAAAAGAAGGAGTAGTTTTGGGTGAATTTAAATGATTGAGGTTTAAGTTACAACACTTTTGTATAAGTCATTTAGTGACTTTCCAGTTTTACTGATGAACAAAAAACTGAGATGTTAATCTTTGGGAAGGTCACCACTTAATTTACATTAGCTGGCTTTCTCTCAAATTAATATAATTATAATCAGGGCTAAAATGGAAACTGCCTGTTAATGTGCAGCTAATTTTTTAAACATATTTATTTCATATGGTTAAATGATTATTATAAGTCATGAAGATTTTTGACCGGTTATATGGCCCTATATAAATGGTTGTTTGCATATACATGTATAACTTAAGCTGCTAGGCGAGAATAATATTATATTGCAAACAAGTATTCATGTACGACAATTACTTGTCAGGAATCTTAATAACGAATTTATAATACACAGCACTTCCTTCTTAGAGGAAAAAACATGTGATTTCTTCATAAACTGACAGCAGCCGTGTATATAAAACTATGTAAACATCACTATTATCCAATGAAAAGAGATGTTACAACTGTGCAGTATTATAATATATATTATACAGGTTTGAGCAACCCGAATCTTCCATTTGTCGAGGCTTGTTTACGATGTTTGAGGACCATCTACATGAGCAACTCTAACTGTGTTAGCTTTATCTATCAGGTTAGATCATAGTAAAATTGAGCCGTGTCATGACAAAACCAACATAATGGGTTTGCAACCAGCATGGATCCAGACCAGCCTGTGCATCTGCACAGTCTGATCAGGATCCATGCTGTTTGCTTACCAACTCTATTACAAGTGGAGAAACTGACAGTTTGAAATATTATACTCTTCTTTGAGAGCATTATAGGACTCTCTCCAAGGACTGTAACATGGATTTAAAGAAAAATTTTGCCGTTTTGTAAACTTAGAATATTTTACATTATCAAGGTTCTTTTACTATCAAGCACTTAGAATAGTCGAGCGTTGCTGTCCTACCGGCAGCTCTTGTTTCTTGTGTTGTAGTTAAAGCGAAACTTCTTGTTGCTAGCTTTACCGTAGATGTTTACTTACCAAAATATAACACGTTTCAGATACGCTATAAAAATATGATGATTATCTTAAAAAGATATGCTTTTATAGGATTAAAAGCAAGACCTATTTCAGAATTTCTCTTTCAGATATAATTACAAAAAAAATTGCGAATCTGGCGATACAAAGGGACGCGAATATTCGCGTCCGAAAATTCATGACATATTTGGATGTACTGAGAGTTCGGACGCTCGTTACAGCCCTAGTTATGATATTAAATATTTCATATTGATATCACAAAATATGGCTTTTAAATATGAACTAAGATTTTATGAAAGCAAAATTTTGTAAAAACAGATTTGTGCAATAACAAGTTTTGGAAATAACAGTTTCATGTAATAACCAGTTTGTTTTGTAGCAGGTTTTATAGTGCAATAGTTTCATAATTGTTTTTCCTTGTTATTTTTACAGGATCCTACAGTTATACCTCATCTGGTGAACATAATGCCGCAGTCGGTCTGTACACAGGAATGCATCACCCATATTCTAGCCAACTCATGCCAGGTTTGACTGTATTTCAAAAATAGTTTCTTTCAAATGCATATTCTTAGTACCGTGCAGAATAAAGTCAAAATAACTTTTGCCATAATTGCTTTCAGGTTTATAGTCCAGTTTTAATAAATTATTATTCAAAAACAAAAATAATAGTCAATTTATTTTCACATATATAGTCAGTTCAACTCAACTCGACAACGAAAAAAATAAGTGTAATATCCCTTTAATTTTAGACGGCAGAACATCAGAATAAACTGTGCAGGAGTCAGATTGTACCTCCTCTCGTGTCACTCATTGCCGGGAATGTCTATAAAGTACAAATGCCGACCTTGAAATGTCTGGCAATGCTGGTGAAGGACAACGACGAGACGAGCGCTACTGTTGCAAATGGTACGTTACTATGGCAACAATAACAACAATGGAAGGGTTCAAACCCCAACAGGGGCAAGTCATTTTATTCTTGAGCAAGAAACTTTACACTCATTGCATAGTACTGGTTGGTTCCAGGAACGGATTCAAGAGTATGTCTGTAAGCTTCAAGCTTCCTACACAATCAAACTAAAATAAATTCTGTATAAACCAATTATGTGAGGTTAAAGTTTGATATTTAATCTAGAATCTGTTTTTTTTTCTGTCGGCAACATTGATAACAATAAAATGATGTGCACTATCAATTTTTTGCATTTAAAAGTACAAATGATGAGTGAAAACATTAAAATTGTCATAGATCAACAAACAAATTTTACCTGAGACAGAGAGATCATATTTAACTCAACTATTCAATAAGAATAAGTAGAGCTGTCCTAGTCACAAAAGCGGGGGAGGGTAGTGACCAATCAATGCGCCAAAGACCTGTGAGCCAGTCAGGTAGATTGACTGACACCGGGCTACAACAAAAAATGTGTCAAAAATCAGTATAACACTAACATGTATATGTATAACCCTTTCAATGTTATTTTCTCTCTATACAGCCACACATAATGGAGAACCATTCCCAAATCTTTTGGTACAGTTATTGTATAGGGATAAGACTTCAGAGATGCAAATTCTAGCTGCCAAAGTGCTAGCCTACATGTGCCGAGGTGGTGCTATTGACCCACAAAATCCTAAAATAGCCATGAAGGTAAATATTTTATATTTTGTGGAGCTATTGACCCACAAGATCCTAAAATAGCCATGAAGGTAAATATTTTATATTTTGTGGAGCTATTGACCCACAAGATCCTAAAATAGCCATGAAGGTAAATATTTTATATTTTGTGGAGCTATTGACCCACAAGATCCTAAAATAGCCATGAAGGTAAATATTTTATATTTTGTGGAGCTATTGACCCACAAGATCCTAAAATAGCCATGAAGGTAAATATTTTATATTTTGTGGAGCTATTGACCCACAAGATCCTAAAATAGCCATGAAGGTAAATATTTTATATTTTGTGGAGCTATTGACCCACAAGATCCTAAAATAGCCATGAAGGTAAATATTTTATATTTTGTGGAGCTATTGACCCCCAAGATCCTAAAATAGCCATGAAGTTTAATATTTATTTTTAAAATTTACTGATATATGTATTTTGTTTTCACAGTAGAGCTAAGGCTAGTTTTTAGAGCTAATGGTATAATTTTTTCATCAGGATATTTTGTTTACATGTGCTAAGTTATGGCTTTGGTTTAACAATTTAAGCGACTACAACCAATGTAAACCAAATGGTAAATATACCTGCAGTTTCTTTGCATGAATGTTTATAGTGAATGACAAACCTATGACTTTTTTTGTACATACCACAATTTTCAGTGGACATGGGCAGCCACACTATGACCCACTTTTTTTCAAAGTTTGGTCAACACTCTAGAACAAAATGGCTGCCATTCAACAATACTTATTTTAAATAATTATTTTTCTCGCCAGTGAAACAAATTCTAACAAATATTTAGTTTTATCTGGTAATAACAGAGCAAACTTTTTGTAACAACAATAAAATCTATTTTCCCAAAGATTGATGCAAATTGTAATGAATGGTATTGACCCTGTTCATTGTTAAACTTCATAAGTTCATTAGTGTCTATATTAATGTTGGGTTAAACTTTTGAAATAGTTAGTTCCAGGAACTTCCTTTGCTTGTGTAAGAATCATTTCTTTTAAGAGAATTTTACCTTTTTCCTTTATTTTCTGTAAATAAACAAATTTACCTGCCCAAAACTGAAAATGATATTCTTTTCCACCAGTATAGAGCTAGGCCAGGGTGCATGTTTGTGTCCTTTAATGTTGGCTGTAAATACCCAAAATGATATCCTAAAAATTGATAGTGAACAATTCTAATTACTGGATGCTAGTGAACCAGTCTATAAATTCATCAGGCTAAAGGCTACTAAATCTACATTTTCAGACACTGCCATGTTTGATCAGGATGTGTAGTAAGGATCGAACCCTGGAGGAGAACGTCGAGGGCGCGGAGACTCTGGCATACCTCCTCGAGGTTGACGCCGGATTACAGAGGACAGCATCAATATCAGAACATATCATCAAGACGCTGTCCGAATATCTGAAATATACAGATGTACAGCAGATTACTAGGAGTGGTAAACAAAGTGTAAGTTTTTTTGAAATGATGGAAGCGGAAATATTTGTATTGAGATTACTGTTCCATTTAGTGCAGATTTACACCAATAACTTGTGTGCCAAATTTCAGATCTTTCACTCCCTCCAATTTTCCAGAATGATTATTCTAATTGTGATAAATGACACAAAATTGAAAAGCATTGCAACGTTTTTCGCTCACACAGGGGTATTTATAGCACAAAAATGTGATTTTATGAGTACATGTATATACCTTAAAGGTACATTATGGCTCAGATATGCTATCATTTGAATTTGCTGAATTTTTTTTTTTTGTACTTTGTTACAGCTTACAAAAAGAAACTTTTTTGCCATAAAGATAATCGTCCGTTTGCTTATGTTGCTCTTGTAACAATTAGTATTATTAAATTTAATTAATATTTTGTATGGAAGTTAAAATATTACTTTGTTTACATTTGGCTACCTTTATCACCACTTACTGCACATTCAGCACTACTTTCTTCAGTTGATAAACATCTAACATGTGTTCAATACACTATTAAAACATTTTAAACATATGTTTGACTGTCATAAAGAATTAAAAAATATGGATTTCTGAGGCATGCTGTGCCTTTAAATTTCATATGTTCTTGAAGTAAAGTTTAAGCCAGAAATACTGTTTGGCCCTTATGCAAAATGGTATTTGTTCTAAAAAATCTTGTCTAATTATACATTGCTAACCTGTCAAATTTTTATATAGTGAAAATCACATAAAAATGTGAGTTTTGTCTCCCATTGAAATTGACCTTACATGGTCAGTGTTACCTGCAAGGACAAAATGAATGGGTTGATGCAGGGTTTCCATTCAGTTCCAGAAGTTGGAAGTTAGTGACTGAAAATGTCTGACTTTAGAAGTCTTGGAAGATTATGTAGGTAAAGAAGGAAAAGCATTATAATTTGGAAGTCACAAGCCAAAATCTGAAGTAAATGACTTCCAAACGTCCATTAATGGATGTTCTGATCATTGATGGAATCGGGGACATGAGAGTTTAAAAAATCTAATAAGATAGGCACAACTTTATCTAAACAACACCTTTTATACCCTTGCTTGAAATTGAATGATTCTAAAGATTTCATGCATCAATTCTTTGATTTTTGTGATCGCTTTTCATCCGGCATCTTTTCGGCTCCCGTCTGGCTGTAAACTTTTACTTTAAACAACATCTACTCATAAACTTCTAAGCCAATTTCATCCAAATTTCACAGGAATGTTCCTTTGTTTGTCAACTTTAAAAATTGTTCAAAGAATTTAATTCCAAGTAGAACTCTGGTTGCAATGGCAACCAAAAGCAAAAACTTAAAATATCTTCCTTTAGAAAACCGAAAGAGCTAGAGCTTAAATATTTGGCATGAAACATCATCTAGTCAGTGTCTTCCAAGTTTGTTCAAATAAATGCCCTGGGGTCAAAATTGGCCCTGCCCTGGGGGGTCATTGATTTTCCTTATTTGTATATAGCAAAAACTTAAAAATTCTTCTGTAAAATACCCAAATAGTTAGAGTTTTGAAATTAAACGTGAAACATTTTCAAGTGGGTGTCTACCAAGATTGTTCAAATAAAACCCTGAGGTCAAAATTGGGTCTTTGTTTTTTTGCTATATGTATATAGTAAAAACTTAAAATATCTTCTTATAAAAACCCCAAATAGCTAGAGCTTAGATATTTATCATGAAACATTTTCTAATGGATGTCTACCAAGTTTGTTCAAATAAAAGCCCCTGGTTTAAAATTGGCCTTGGCCCAGGGGCCTATGTACAGGTGGGCAATTACAGGGCCATCATGGCCCTCTTGTTTTTTCCTTTATTTAAACAATAAGCAATGTGCAAGAATTTAGGATAGTGGTGTTTTTCTGTTATTTACACAGTGATGTGTTATTTTTCTTGCAGTGTTATTTTTCTTGCAGGATATAAACTGGGGAAATGAGATGAAACAAGCAGCTTTTAAAGCATTTGCAGCTCTAGGTGCCAATGAGGAAGATATAAGAAAACAGGTAATGTTTGTATGATTTATCATATATCCACCATAACCATACTGGAATAGACTTACTCAGGAATCAAAAATTTTGTGGATTTCCCAGCTAATCCGTTGGAACAAACAAACTTTAACAGTTACAACTTCAAAAATAAGCACAACAGGTTGATTAATCTATTTTGAAAAGTTTGTACCTACGGATTAGCTGGGGAAAAACCCACATTTGCCGAATTCCGGATAACATCTATTGACAGTGATTTATCTTTGTCACCAGTGTGGAGCCAGGACAGCCATGTATTCATACCATGCTCTATTATTTTTGGCTGATAAACTTCTCATTTTCATCTTTATATCTGAGGGGTATCATGGCCAAAGTTGTTAAGGTTGTTGACTTCAAACCACTTGCCCCTTACCGCTGTGTGTTCGAATCTTGGCAGGGACTTTAGATTATTTCATGTGAGGAATCTATCCAACTAGCTTATGGAATGTTGGTGGTTCTACTTATGTGCATGTTCATGTCTGAAATAATCAAATATATATTTACCAAGTTATAACTCACAGACTTTGTACCCAGGGATCCACATTTTTCAATTCCAGAGTATCCATGTACCTAACAAATGTTTTTTAGGTATTTTCTATTCAAACATTATTAACATTTATGTATCTTTCTATTCAAAAGTTATTAACATTTATGCATCGTTCTATTCAAATGTTATTAACATTTATGTATCTTTCTATTCAAAAGTTATTAACATTTATGCATCGTTCTATTCAAATGTTATTCACATTTATGTATCTTTCTCTTCAAACGTTATTCACATTTATGTATTTTTCTATTCAAACATTATTAACATGTATCTTTCTATTCAGTCATTATTCACATTTATGTATTTTTCTATTCAAACATTATTAACATTTATGTATTTTTCTATTCAAACATTATTAACATTTATGTACTTTTCTATTCAAACATTATTAACATTTATGTACTTTTCTATTCAAACGTTATTCACATTTATGTACTTTTCTATTCAAACATTATTAACATTTATGTACTTTTCTCTTCAAACGTAATTCACATTTATGTATTTTTCTATTCAAACGTTATTCACATTTATGTATTATTCTATTCAAACATTATTAACATTTATGTACTTTTCTATTCAAACGTTATTCACATTTATGTACTTTTCTATTCAAACGTTATTCACATTTATGTATTATTCTATTCAAACGTTATTAACATTTATGTATTATTCTATTCAAACGTTATTCACATTTATGTATTATTCTATTCAAACGTTATTCACATTTATGTATTATTCTATTCAAACGTTATTAACATTTATGTACTTTTCTATTCAAACGTTATTCACATTTATGTACTTTTCTATTCAAACGTTATTAACATTTATGTAGTATTCTATTCAAACGTTATTCACATTTATGTATTATTCTATTCAAACGTTATTAACATTTATGTACTTTTCTATTCAAACGTTATTAACATTTATGTACTTTTCTATTCAAACGTTATTAACATTTATGTACTATTCTATTCAAACGTTATTCACATTTATGTATTATTCTATTCAAACGTTATTCACATTTATGTATTATTCTATTCAAACGTTATTCACATTTATGTATTATTCTATTCAAACGTTATTCACATTTATGTATTATTCTATTCAAACGTTATTCACATTTATGTATTATTCTATTCAAACGTTATTCACATTTATGTATTATTCTATTCAAACGTTATTCACATTTATGTATTATTCTATTCAAACGTTATTCACATTTATGTATTATTCTATTCAAACATTATTAACATTTATGTTTTTTTCTATTCAAACATTATTAACATTTATGTACTTTTCTATTCAAACGTTATTAACATTTAGGTATTATTCTATTCAAACGTTATTAACATTTATGTATTATTCTATTCAAACGTTATTAACATTTATGTATTATTCTATTCAAACGTTATTAACATTTATGTATTTTTCTATTCAAACGTTATTAACATTTATGTATTTTTCTATTCAAACGTTATTCACATTTATGTATTTTTCTATTCAAACATTATTAACATTTATGTACTTTTCTATTCAAACGTTATTAACATTTATGTATTATTCTATTCAAACGTTATTAACATTTATGTATTATTCTATTCAAACGTTATTAACATTTATGTATTTTTCTATTCAAACGTTATTCACATTTATGTATTTTTCTATTCAAACATTATTAACATTTATGTACTTTTCTATTCAAACGTTTTTAACATTTATGTATTATTCTATTCAAACGTTATTAACATTTATGTATTATTCTATTCAAACGTTATTCACATTTATGTATTTTTCTATTCAAACGTTATTAACATTTATGTACTTTTCTATTCAAACGTTATTAACATTTATGTATTATTCTATTCAAACGTTATTAACATTTATGTATTATTCTATTCAAACGTTATTCACATTTTTGTATTTTTCTATTCAAACGTTATTAACATTTATGTATTATTCTATTCAAACGTTATTAACATTTATGTATTTTTCTATTCAAACATTATTAACATTTATGTATTATTCTATTCAAACGTTATTAACATTTATGTATTTTTCTATTCAAACATTATTAACATTTATGTATCTTTCTATCCAAACGTTATTAACAGATATGAACAACTTTTTTAATATTTAGATTATTGAGACGGAGAATTTAATGGACTGTGTGGTGTCTGGTCTGAACAGCAGTGATATGAAAGTAGCGGCTGCTGCCATACGATGTTTACATAGTCTATCACGATCAGTACAGTTGTTGAGAACCACGTTTCAGGACCACGCTGTGTGGAAACCACTTATGAAGGTACATAGATTATATTATATAAACCGCTGATTTAGTGATATTAAAGGAGCTCCACTGAGGTCAAAAGTCTAAATACATAAAATCTGAAAATTGTTATATTTATCAAGTAAAAACTCATAAATGAAAAATCTGCAAATGATAATTAAGAAATATACACGGTATTAAAATGAATATCGATTTTTTGTGCAACGATTTTCATTTTTGAATCATTTTGCACTATAAAAATGACTTTTCTTGAAAACAGAGTAATGGAATGATCTGACTATTTACACGCAAGTTTTTGAACCAAATCAAAAGGTACACAAATCTCAGAAGTCTGTTTTCAGTCTCATCACATTGTAAAAAACCTGAGTGGAATCCCTTAAATATGATAAAAGCATTTGAGCATTGGCCAAATACTGAATTCTATGAATTTTTTACAGATAATACAAGAGGGTCCGGAGGAGCTTTTACAAGTTTCTACGTCAACAATGTGTAACTTACTGTTGGAATTCTCACCTAGTAAAGAGGTAAAATTCCATAAAGTTTATTTAAAGGCCCATCAAGCCCACTAAAACGCCATCATTCATAATTCTCAAAAACTTTTTATTTTTGGCAAAAGTTACAGTTTTCAAAACATTACTCATTGGTCTTCTAGGTAAAATATCTTTTTCTTCCATTGCCCTTTGGCAATAAGTATAATTAAAGTGATTTAGTATTTTGAATGAATGTCAAAATACAACTTTGTTTACATTTTACTGCCTTTAAGACACATTTCTGCATGTTCAGGGCTACTATGTTCAGTTTTTGAAATCTATAATTACAAAGAATTTTTTTCTTGAAAATGGAATTCTTAGAATGAGTGTAAGTTTATTGAACAAGTTTAATAAAAGTAATGTGAGCCTTTTGCAGCACTTGCATGTGATAAATATTATTCTATAATATTTGTTTTATTATTTCAGTGTATATTGGACTGTGGAGCTATCAACATCTTGGTTGGCCTGACTAGTAGACCAGATCCAGGGTTAAGACTAAATGGAATCTGGGGACTCATGGTACATATTTATATATATATAATATCAATATACCCCCCTACACCCCAACCCCACTATACCCCTATCCCCGCTCCCACCTTTATACAAAATAAGCGGGATCAACCTTATCTGCTACATCCACTTTACCTTTACAATAAGATGAATGATCATTTATCAGAGCTATGAATTGTTATGTACACTGGGTTCTATAATATTTTAGGTTGTGTAGTATTACTGAGCTTTTTGATGGGTTTACTTCCTTTTTCCTTTGGGGATGTCCGTAGGCTAGTGGTTAAGTTCAACATTGTGACTTCAAACCTCTTGCCCCTCACCACTGCGGGTTCGAATCCTGACAGGGACTTTGAATTCTTTCATGTAAGGAAGCTATCCAGCTAGCTTATGGAACTTTGTACTGAGGTGCCAGTTTGTGCCTGAAATAATGCACGGCAGGGCATCTGAGGTCTTCCTCCACCAGTAAAGCTGGAAAGTCGCCAAATGACGTATACTGTGTTGGTGAGACGTAAAACCCAACCAAAAAAGAAAGAAAGGTTTTGCCTATGTTACACATCTCAGTATCTTTCCTTGATAATAAAGTTACATCATCTGTCGGATGTGGAATGGAGTGTGACACTTTCATATTTGTCCTTCATCTGATTAAACATTGTTATAACTTATATATATGTATATGCTGATCTTCCATGTGATTTTTCTGTGCGTGTGTGTGAATATATATATACACAGAAAAATCACATGAAAAATCGGCACTTCACACTCAAACCACGGTTCTCTCGGATTGCTGGTTCAGTATGCTGACTACTACACCACAGTGGCCGTTGCATTTCTTTGTGCCAACTGATCTTTTATATTTAAGTTATAAAGTTTATAATGATACCTTCTTGTCTTATTCCGTGTAATTAAGCTATATAAGTTCTGATCGACAACCTTTCCATTTCACAACCGCACTTTAACTTATATCAGTATATAGGTCTGTAACTAGCATCCAGTTATTACCTTACTTGCTGTCAAAATACAAGTAATGTGATAAAATGAAATGGAACAATGCAACATCAAAGGCTTTCTGTGCATCCAAAGTTGTCCTTCAGATAATTTCAGTTTACAGTTACTGTGACTTTCATAATATTTTTATTTTTTTTATTTTTTAGAATATGACGTTTCAAGTGGAGCAGAAAGTAAAATCTCAAGTTGTTGAAGCAATTGGAACCGAGCAACTGTTCAGGCTTCTGTCTGACCCTGATGCAAACATAGTCATGAAGACGCTTGGTTTATTGCGCAATCTTTTGTCACACAAAATGGTGAGTAAATTGAAAGGATTTGTTTCTTGTGATTTCAGGTTACGTACTGAAGTTAATATTTCCCAGCGATTTTCTTCCTCCATTTGTGAATGGGTCCGGTATTGTGAGAATTGTGGAAAAAAACCATCTTGTAATGAATTGTTTTCTTGACATTGTGAATTTATATACAGTAACTTTTATCGTAGAATTATCAGATTCACCCTTATCTTTCCTATTCCTTTTCGATCTCAAATCAAAGAGACTACTTTGGTTTATCAAAACTGCTTTTTTTAGATGTTAACATTATATATTTACTGTTCTTAGAGGGCTTAGTGGCATACTGGATATAAACAGTGTATTATATTGTGCTTGATTGCGATGTACAATTTAATTACGATAGGAATATATTCTGATAAATTGACCGACCCTTTGATAAATATCCTATAATGTTATGAAAATATTTGAATACATACAGCTTTAAAGGAATCTTTGAAAACTAAGTGTAAATCTATAAATAATCCGGTCATGATGATAATTCAGGCAGCATTATTAAAAATCATTCATTATTATACATGTATTATACATAAAAATAAGGAAAAGAGGCATAATTATAGACTAATTTTGTCAAGAATGTTTATTTTCACCATAATTGTGAACTGTTCTGTTGGACACAGTCTGAAAATTGTGAAGGATTGTTCATTATTGTGAATGTGTCCATTATTAGATACCACTTGTACAAGGAAAAGGGGGAAAAATCACTGTAACAGCCTATTGTTGGTACATGTACTTTTACAGTTAAGGGAAGTAAATATGTATTTTTGTTGATACATAATTTGTAGTAGTTTTCTCCCCTTTGTCTTGACAAATTAAAAATATCCAATCATAAGCAAAATTTGTAGATAAAAAAAGGAGAATACATGTAGTTAAAAGATAAATTTATGAATAAATTAAAAAAAAAAAAGACAATGTATAAAATATGTATATTATGGTAAAATACTGTATTGTATGGTTTTTTTTAAGTAAAAAAAAAAAAAAAGAAAGAAAAGAAAATACTGGACTAAGGAAAAAACTGTCATTTTTATTTGACATGTTTTATAATACTGTAAGGAGATGAGACCATTGACCAACTTCCCACAAATCATTAACCACTTTTCCTCAAATAATTGACTTACTTCAAACAAATTATAGACTGACTTGCAACAGTTATGCACCAGCTTCCTAAAAAATTAATACAAGGTAATATGCATATTTTTAGATACAATTAGCATTTCAAGTCTATACAAACATAAAACATGCAACACAGTATAGGTCATGTGGCGGCTTTCCATCTTTACTGGCGGAGAAGGACCTGAGGAAAGGGCATCTTAGTAGCAACAATAACATTTAGTAAGCCTAGCTGGATAGCTTCTTCACAAGAAAGAATCCAAAGTCCCTGTCAGGATTCCAACCCACAGCCTTGAGGGGGCATGTGACTTGAAGTCAACAACCTTAAGCACTCTGCCACCGGTGCCCCTATTAAACATGTAAAAAATCAAAGGGGCATAATTCTTCCCAAAATGTTCAAATTGCAAAATGCTGACAAAAAAAGCTAGAGCACTTGATGTTGATGCTTCTGTTAAATATGAATGTTGAAAAACTGATTTTATCGCATTGTGTTCTTTCTTGTTTGAAATTGTGGTAATTTTGAATCAATTAGGACTTTGACCTTCAATTTAATGAAACTGCTAATATGTTTGAAAATGTCAGCAGCTTTATTAACATGATGTAATAATCAAAAACTTCAATCGGTTGTCTAAAAACAGGCTATGAATTGTTGTTATGACATTATTTGAAAACCAAAAGACTAATATCCGGTCATAAAGCTCTCATATTCTCAAGTTTATTAAATAAACAATAAATATAGCAGAAATATGAGCTGTGAAAATCTGTCTCTTATCTCTCGTACTAAAAGAAAATGTGGAGAAAAAAATGCTTAAACTTTTACATGTATTAGTTTGCAAAGGAAATTTTTTATTGAACCAGTGTGTCTGTCTGTCTGTCCATTTGTCTGTTGTCTATCTAATTGTTAGTATTTTGTCAGCCTATAACTGTCTGTCCGTCTGTTGATGCAATTTTGTTATCACTTTATATCCTTTACCATTGGCTGCAATTGAAAAAACTGTACTTAAGTTGATTGATAAGTAATATGAAATATAAAATAGTGATTTGCATGTACTACCTAAAACCTTCATTATACTATATCAGGTAGATACCTCTTGAATTATGTAGCCTAAAGCCTTCATACTTATACTATTTAATGAGAGTTTTTTTTACTTATAATGGTAAAGCCTATATGCTTATACTATAACAGTAAGAGTCGAGTGAATAATTGCAATGCACTGCATAAAAAAGGTATTTACACGTCATATGATGTCAGGTAACTGATAATTACTTCTATACTCTATGTAATTATCATATTTTTACCAATTCTCTTTTATATTAGCATGTTAGAAATGGAAATACATATTAAACTTTTCTTGCATTACAGTACAACAATGCCAGATTTATGGTTCAAATGCTTTGCAATTTATCACTTAGGCATATCGGCCTTAATGATTATATTCCTATGCATTTGAACGGGAACTGTGCATTATTCTACAACAACAGGCTTAAAAGTGATATGAGCCGCGTCGCAATAAAACCAACATAGTTTGTTTGCTACCAGCATGGATCCAGACCAGCATGCTCATCCGCGCAGTCTGATCAGGATCCATGCTGTTCGCTGTAAGTTTCACTACTTGTAATAGAGTTGGTAAGCGAACAGCATGGATCCTGATCAGACTGCGCGGATGCGCAGGCTGGTCTGGATCCATGCTGGTCGCAAACGCACTATGTTGGTTTTGTCGTAACACGGCTCAATTATCTATTTCCTAACCATAAGGTGGCATTGGTATTTATTTTTAAATATTGAGCAATTATAAGTTCTCTTAGCTGATCATTATATGTTTGATCAATAAGGAAACTACCTGAATATTTGTTTGACATTTTAAAAGTATTTCATTTATTTTTAATTTGCAAGTTGAGAAAATCTAATAGATGATGTATAGATTACTGTCTCCCATAATTATACATTGCTTATGCATTTGATGTATTACTTCATTTATTGAAAAATCCTAGAATGTTTATTATCTATAAAGCCCTTTTGCAAATTTCTACCTCGTTAATTATGAACACAAGTTGCTAGACAGTTATGAGTGGCATGGCATATCTTTTGCAAGAAAGCAATTAACTGAGACTGCAGAATTACTTTGTTCTTGATGCACCCACATTGATGTTAAAATTGTGTCTTAGAGTATAGAGAATGAATTATTGCACAACAGGTTTTAGACATGAAAAACTAAAACAATAAGGTAATTCATATCAATGGGAAATGTTTTATTTTGACTTGTAGGATTGTTGATAAGTGATATATTATATAGGGTTTTATATAAGCTGTTATGAAAGATAATTACAGAATAATGTCTTTACTAAAAGTTTTAGATGTTATTTTGGGAACTTTATCATAGATTCTTGGTTATCGTTCACAGGGCCTTTAATTAACACTCTTTGGTACCAAAATTTTGCCAATTATTCCCAACCCATTCCCCTCCCAAAAAGTTTATTTTTCCCCTATCCCTGCTTGAACCAGTGTCACAAATTCTTGTTTGAACCTGTCACATATCCTGACTTGGACCTGTCACATATCATTGCTTGAACCTATAACAAATTCTTACTTTGCCCTGTCACATATCCTTGCTTGGACCTGTCACATACCCTTGCTTGTACCTATCACATATCCTTACTTGGACCTGTCACATATCCTTTCTTGGATCTGTTGCATGTCCTTGCTTGGACCTGTCATATATCCTTACTTGCACATGTCACATATCCTTGTTTGAACCTATCACATATTCTTGCTTTGACCTGTCACTTATCCTTGCTTGAACCTTTCACATATCCTTGCTTGGATCTGTTGCATGCACTTACTTGAACTTGTCACATATCTTTACTTGGATCTGTCACATATCCTTACTTGGACCTGTCACATATCCTTACTCTCGACCTGTCACATATCTTTGCTTGGACCTGTCACATATCCTTACTTCGACCTGTCACATATCTTTGCTTGGACCTGTCACATATCCTTACTTCGACCTGTCACATATCTTTACTTAGACCTGTCACATATCCTTACTTGGACCTGTCACATATCCTTACTTCGACCTGTCACATATCTTTACTTAGACCTGTCACATATCCTTACTTGGACCTGTCACATATCCTTACTTCGACCTGTCACATATCTTTGCTTGGACCAGTCACATATCCTTACTTCGACCTGCCACATAATCTTTCTTGGACCTGTCATATTTCCTTACTTGGACCTGTCTTGGACCTGTCACATTCTCTTGCTTGAACCTATCACATATCCTTACTTGGACCTGTCACATATCCTTACTTGGACCTGTCACATATCCTTACTTGGACCTGTCACATATCCTTACTTGGACCTGTTACTTATCTTTTCTTGGACCTGTCTTCTATCCTTATTTGGACTTGTCACATATTTTTACTTGGACCTGTTATGTAATCTTTCTTAAACTGTTACATTATTTTTCTTGGACCTGTCACATATCCTTGTTTGGGGAAAATTTAAGGTGGTTGCTAAAGACAAAAATCCCTTAATACCCCTCTATGCTTGGGAAAGTTGGACTTTACTTGTACTTGATACTCCTTTATTACAACACAGTCATGTCACATGCAATTAAAATACTGTTATCTTTTTTCATTATTATTCAAAATTAATTTCAATTTTTATAATTTGTCTGTCTAGAACTGTAAGTAGGTTAGCGTCTCATTGCCTCATTTTGAAACACTGTAGTGCAGTAACGTAATAAATCTCTCTAAATTTAATAGCAATTTATCAGTTATTGCACTAAGGTGCAAAATGTCTGTACTCTGGTTTTGGGCAACACAAAATAACTTATCATTTACAAATGTATCTTGATAATTGTATAATAGATCCCTGACCCTCTCTCAAGTTAGTCCATATTGACTGCCTTAGATCCATTTTTTGGGTACTGTAATCAGAGTTGACAAATTAAAAAAAAATTCAAATTTTATACAAAGTGACTTTTAGTTTTTATGAGTCATTCACTACTAAAAATGTGTGTTTCTTTCTTTGATGGTAATCTTTACAGCCCAAAAACAAACTTTTATTGAAAAATTATGATTTGAGCTCGAATTTGGCAATTTTACTGTCCTTTATAAAAGAAAAGGGTACAACGGAATCCTTAAAGTTAAAAAAAAGAAAAAAAAAATTATGCCCAAATGGACAAAATGGAAAATGTTAAAGGGTTGGTTTGAAATTGATTGAGTCTGTTCATGGACGGTACTGGAAATTGCATGGTACCGTCCACACCCCCTAGTACACTATGTATCTGTTTCTCTTGACATATGTGTATACGAGTGCATAGTGTATTTTTATTTCAGCATATAGACAACATTATGAGTATGTATGGAAATCAGATCATGCAAGCTGTCATCTTTATATTAGAGGGAGATCATCCACCACAAGTCAAAGAACAGGTATGGGGAAAATAAACCATATTTCATGTTTTCATGTCTGACCTTTAAAGGGACTCCACTGAGGTTTTTTTGACAGGACTGGGAATAATTTTTCGACATAAATTTCCAATTTCATGTACATCTCTGCCAATATCTTATGTGGAAAATTTTTGATCATTCCCTCACTCAGTTTTTTCCAGAATAATCATTTCTTTTGTGAAAAATGATCCAAAATTGAAAAAATTTCAACGCTTTTCACTCAAATCGGGCTAAGAATAACGCAAAAATATGATTTTCAATCTATTTCTCAGTACTCTCGCTGTACTGTATATTTCTTAATTATTTTTGCGTTTCTTTCTATTTTAAATAGTATTACACCACTTTATATGAAATTTAAATTTTGTGCTTTATGCTTTTAAACCTCAGTGGAGTTCCTTTAAAGTAAATTGGTCTATAATGGTACGTCTGTAATACAATGAATAATTACTTTGATAGTATTTAGTATTAGACACAAATGACCAAAGAATTATATATTGATGTTGTTGGCAAATATGAGATACATGATCAGATAATACCTTATATTTAAATAGCAGACAATAAAGTGTTCCAAAACAAAATAATATTATTCATCAGGTAAATCGGTCATTCTAAATCACTTAGAACTTTATCAACATTTCTTTAAAGCAGCATATATAAGAAAGTCCAATATGAGACATTTCTATTGTTTTTATCAATATTTGAAATACTTTTGAAAATGTGCACACATCCACTGAAACAAAAAGTGATAATAAAATTATAAACCTTTGCCACCAGTATACAGCCAGGCCTGCACTTATGTTGACTTACTAACTTTAAATTTTCAACTTGATAACCCTTTAATTGATAATGGACAGTTCCAAAAATGGAAGAAAGACAAGTCCATTGCAGAAAATTATGGTTTAATATATGAATATAACGTAAATGATTTTTTCATCAGAATGGAATTCAGCTTTTCTTAAAAGTACGAAATTTACAAAATTTTGTTTCTATGAACTCGTTGGTGTCACATTGATGTAATGACTTGAATTATATGATGCATTAAAAATATTTAAACCTTACCATGATTTGATTAAACACTTATGGAAGTGTGCTATATTAAAACAAAGGTGAAGCAAGGTTTTTATTACAATCCACTGTGTTTTATGTTCCATTAATGGAACATTTGCCTTGCAGGCTTGTATTTCCTGACATCTAATGTACTTAAAATTGTTTTGAGCCGCGTCATGACAGAACCAACATAGTGTGTTTGCGACCAGCATGGAACCAGACCAGCCTGCGCATCCGCGCAGTCTGATCAGGATCTATGCTGTTCGCTATCAGTTTCTCTACTTGTAATAGAGTTGGTAAGTGAACAGCATGGATCCTGATCAGACTGTGCAGGCTGGTCTGGATCCATGCTGGTCGCAAACCCATTATGTTGGTTTTGTCATGACGCGGCTCATTTGGTTTTTCTTATCAAATAATGGACTGAATTTGTACAATATATATTTCAGACATTGTGTATTCTGGCAAATGTTGCAGACGGCGATCAGGCCAAAGATTACATTATGGGTAATGAAGATGTTCTTAAAAAACTCATGAATTACATGGTAAGTTGTCTTTCTTGTTTCTGTAGTCTTTAGTGGTGAGTCTGTGGCCCAGGGGTAAAGGTTGATGTCTTCAAATCATTTGACCCTCATGGCTGTGGGTTCAGGACTGCATTTGACCCTCAAAGCTGTGGGTTTATGACTAAACCATTTGAGCTAGTTACAAAAGGTTAGTGGAACTACTGGAGGCCAGCTTGAAATTGTAATTTTAAGCACAAACGGCCACCACATCTAAGATCATCCTCCACCAGTAAAACTGAAAGTCCTAAGGCAGATTTTTTGAGCAAACAAAGCAAACTGTCAATTAGTGTTACAAGTATATTCAGACTTTTGCTGTGCCATCATGCTTGATTTCTAATATCAAACCTGTATAGAATGTGGCAATATATTGCAATATATCCCAATATCCCAGTCAAGTATTACATATATCGCAATACCATTTTTATGGCAAGACTTATAACTTAAAGTTGTTATAATGATCTCAACAGTGTCAGTAAATGAAAACAATGAAACAAACTATGTGCTTGAATTATTTGTTTTTGAGCTAGAAATATTTCGCAGTAATGCTTCAGTTCAGTTCTTTGTTCGTATGATCTTTTTTTATGCGAAATAAAGTATGAATGATGCAGGTGTGTGAATAATCATTGCATGATATGGGAGTTTTCTGACTGTACTAAATGAACACACCAATATATAAGTGTGAGCAATTGAGTACCCAGGGGCCACAACTTGCAGAAATTGGAAGTTTTTAATTTTACATGCTTTCTTTTTGAATATGTATAGTAATGTGAAATTGAAAAAACCAACGTATATTCTATAATAAATGTCCCCAATCTCAAAAGTTGGGCATTTATCAAAGTACAAAAAAGTTTATAAATATCATCAAAATTAAATTAATAATTATTGTTTTTCTGTTATTTTCTGTGATTGGTGGGAACCCCAGCTGTGTTTTAATCATTGCTACTTTCTTTGGTTTCAATAAATGAGCCGCGTCACGACAAAACCAACATAGTGCGTTTGTGAGCAGCATGGATCCAGACCAGCCTGCGCATTCGCACAGTCTGATCAGGATCCATGCTGTTCGCTATCAGTTTCTCTACTTGTAATAGAGTTGATAAGCGAACAGCAGACTGCGTGAATGCGCAGGCTGGTCTGGATCCATGCAGGTCGCAAATGGACTATGTTGGTTTTGTCTTGACGCGGCTCAAATTATTATTGTCTTGGTAATTCTGTTGGGGTTTTTTCCAATGTCAAAAGCTTGGGGTGGGAGTAAACCTTTTTAGCACTGTTAACGACACAGTTTCTTCAAATTTGGTCAAAATATTTTCTTTTTCTCTTGATAGTATTTATCTGGTAAATTGTAATAAAAATAGAAAAGAAACATAAAAAAATAAATACTAATAATAATATTTTATGCTCTAACCTAAGGGGTGGGGGGGCATGCATAATATAGATACTTGCCCTTGACTCAGTGTCCTTCCTGCTGTCTGACTGTATGTATTTAGACATATAAAACTGTAAATTTTGGAGCATCTGTATCCTTGGGAACAAGTTCTTAGTTCAGTTTGTTTTATACAATAAACAATAAAGGAAGAAAGAAATTACGAGAACAAAAGAAAAAAAAGAACAAGGAAGCTTTGCGTTAATTACTTCTTCTTGTGCTTTTGTGTTATAAAACACTGAATGTGAATTTTGCAGAATTCGCGGAATTATATATAAATAAGAGGAATCATTTCAGCAATAATTATATTACACTTTGTTACATTCTCCCTGTCACAGACAATTACTTTACTTTAATTTATTTCATGGGATAGGAAAATTGTTTGTCTGATGAGTTAGACCAGTTTTCTCTTTTTGTAGCCAAATTAAAAAAAACAAATGTCTTTAAGTGAGTGAGAGAAAAGACAGGTCTTCTGCAAAAAAGTGTGCTTTCTGGCATTGTTTCTCGGTTTTCTTTGGGTTTTTTTGTTTTGTAATGGTATTACCATTAACATTGTGTCGTTGTTTGGAGGAAACTATGCAGGAAAATATGCCTGCAGGAATTAATTGGTAAGAAAGAATTTTCATGCAAGTATTTTGTGAAGAGATTTGACTTGTGTGCCTAAGGAGCTGGATGTGCAGTAATAAATTCTTTATTTCGTGGCAATATCTCAATTTATTATCTGTAAGAGAAATCTAGCATACAGCACTTAAACAATTACTTAACGGCATCACATTGATTTATTGTTTCTTTGTCAAACGGAATGATAAGTGCTGGAAAAGATTGTTTTATAATAATCTTTTATGTTTTATGTTGGGTGTAATATGCATTAATTGTTTGGAAAAGTTTTACATTTTTTTTTTTTTGCTAAGAAGGTTTTAGTGCTAAGAAGGAAGTAGCAAAGGGCAATAAAAATAATTGTAATAAATTGTAAAAGTTGTCCACACGCAACATTAAATTTTTTAGCAGATGCAGTAAAGCCTATGAGCATAATTGTTTGATTGAAGTCTTGGGTCCAAGAATATAAAGAACTTTATCACATAAACCGCGGCGCAGGAGTGTAATAAAGCTATTTAATAAAAACGATCTTACACTAGTGTAATAACACTTTGACGTGACGTCATTTGCGCTATATATATATAAACATAGCGTTAAAGCGCGCTAATGTTAGCGTTACACTATAGGCGCGTCATTGAAAAATTACTCTTTTTAACAGTTTACTGTTCTTATTTTATATATGTGATAAATAGAATAGTATATTCGTGTAGATTCAATACTAAATTTATTGAACTCGTTGAATAAAACAATATTATGCTCGCCAGAGGCTCGCATAATATGATTTTATTCAACTCGTTTTAATTTTAGTATTAAAATTCACTCATTCAATATCCTCTATTTTCTAAGCTCAAGCTTAGGTTAATGTATTTGATTGGTCAAAAAACTGGTACAGGTAGTATATTGACCAATGAAAATCTTGAAATTAGAGACTGAAGCTCAGAAAGATGTTATATAACAAGGTGGCAGATTTCACAAGTTTGATTTCTCTATCTAAAATTAAATTACTACCAGATTTTGAGATAAGAATTTTAAAATTCAAGTGAAGTGTAATGATGTAATGAAAATATCTGCATTCTATGGCACAATCTTCTAGAAAATTAAATTTCTTGCAAACCTGAACTTTGATCATAAATGTGAATTTCTGTTGACTTTCTTTTGAAAACTTGTTTGTTCTAAAGGGAATCCATGACAGTACATTTTTGCCATGTTATTAAAGTGCACATAACTCGTAAAGGAAACAAAAGTTTACAATAAAAGTAAATTTTACTTTTAGAAATAAAGACACTCTTTCGATTCATATCCACTAAGGGTGTTTTTATGAACCAACTTAAAAATGACAGCAAAAATCCACGAACTTTTTGAACATACCTCGTATCTTATGCAGCTTTAAAGACCCATTATACCTCAGAAATGATTTTATCTTTATTTCTCAAAAACTTTTAATTTTTGATGTCCTGTTACAATTTCCTAAAAGTTGGTAATTGGCCAATTGTTTCTGTTGCTTTTTAGCAATTAATATAGTAAAGTTATATTGAGTTAGTATTTATAGTTTTAAAGTCAAAATACTACTTTGCTTACAATTTGTTACTTTTATTATAAATATATTTTTATATTCAGCACTTCTTTGCCCTAATATATGATTATATATTTTTATATTTCAGTTACATCTGAGTGTGAGTCTTCAAATAGCTGCCACAACATGTATATCTAACCTTGTTTGGAACGAAGAAGAAGGTATGCCACATTAATTCTATGGTATAAATAAGCATAGAGATAGGATATAAGCTGCCTACTGATTCTTCAGTGATTTTTTTTTCAATTTCAATTTTTCAAAACAACCTGTGGCTTTCTGAAGGAGAATTTATAGCACAAAAAAAAATGAAAATGGTTTTTACCAAATTTTCAATCTCAGCTCAATTTAGCATGCATTGTGCGTACAAGAGGCTACCTATAGGGAGAGCTTTCAGTCAATTAGATTTATCAACTACCTGATATAAGTTGGCTGCTGTTAAGCCATGGTTCTGGTGAAGATGCTACATAGGGCATTTTAGGTGAAAATAAAGCATTTTTAGCGGAAAATACTCCTATTTTGGGCTAGCCTGTAAAATATAGGGAAAAAAGTCACTAATCCCATACATTAAAGAAAGAAAAAGAATCTGATTTGAAAATTTGGACAATTTTATTTCCTTTCACATAATAACATTAATGCATTTCAGACAATGAGATTTTATCTTGAAGCACTTTTGCAGAATTATGCCTTGGTTTCTACCCTTGCTTTATCATTCTATCCAGCACTGTAAAGTGCTGTTTGCTGCAGGTATAACATGTTTTTCTATCAACATTAACCTTCTGAGGGTTGTCATAGAAATTATATATTATCTTTTATTTTGTAGGTGCGTATGTACGGCAAGCAAAACTACGGGAAATGGGTGTACAGACTTTGCTACAGAAACTACTCAGTACCAATGATTCTGTTCTCTTTGAAAAGTTAGTATTTTGTGATTATTTCTATTGAATCTAGTATTTTGTGATTATTACTATTGAATCGGGCAATCTGGGTTTGATTCTCGTACGGAGCAGGTCACTTTCGTTATGTTTGTTATCATGAAATCCTTTCTACGGTCATTTGCACTGTACCTCCACTCTGGCATGTACAGAAGTTATCAGTTCCTTGAAAAAGAAAATGCAACATGTTGTACTGGTAAACTGATTGACAGCCTGCTCAGGAACGATGTGGCAGCTTAACTGTGCTCTAGTAAATTCAATGTTGCTTACTGTTGAGATATGGAGTGCAATTTACCATCCCCACCATTTCCTTTATTATTTCCTAGATAATAGAATTTTAACTACAAACTCAAATGACATTAAAAGTCCTTGAAGCATTCCATTATTAGAAATTTTCAAAATAATTAAAATAAGATGTCTAGGGAAAACAAATATTGTAAGTTAAAGTGGGATGAGAAACCCTGTAATGTTCTTGCTGTCTGTGCTATATTTTACAGATAAAAGTCAAATATCTGTGTTTCATAATGATTAAATGGGAGATTTAATTAAATTTCCAATTATTTGGTACTATACAAGTACATATTTAAAGAGAGCAGACGGAAAATAATATCCAGTTGAGATGAAGATTTGCAGAGACACTCTTTTAATTTTGTGGCACATAGAGATTTATGTCTTCTTTGAATGAGAGTTTTTCTTTTATTTTCTGTTTAGAAGGAAGCAGAAATTTGACAAGATTCTAGCCAACTGTACGAGGGTTGATCAATAAGATTATGGACAACTGCCATAATGAAAAAAATTCAAAATGTACATTAAGAAAAAATACACAGAGGAACACCTTAGGTCTTCCTCTACCAGTTAAGCTTGAAAATCGTCATATGACCTATGTCATTTATACATTTATTTGCTAAAATTTAACATATATACATCGGTAAATTTTCAATAGATTAGGATAGGGGTTATGTAACCGGAGCATCTGCCACAAGTTTTTGACATCAAGATCAATATAATTATATTGATGATTTTTTTTACATGTGTCGCCCCTGAGTCAGTGCAGTCTTGATTTGATGTCTGTGAACCAATATTTCTTATATTTCTTGAATATTCCTGCATGCTGTAACTGTCAGTAGTTTATTTGACGAAATCATAAATAGATATTGCAATATTGGCCTTTATGTAGTGAAGCATTGGCAGACAGGACCTCTAGTTATCATACCATCACTACTACTCACTTATGCCACTGGTAAAAAAATGCCTGACTTACAATTTCCCCGCTTGCATGTCTTTTCCAACAAATAATTTTGTGTCACAAAAACATCTTTGCTCTTTGTTTAAAATTATAGCACATATTTTATTGATTGGGATCCTCTATAAGTGAAAAAGTGATAATGATGTTTGTTTATAATGCTAATGAGAAATGGTGTAACCTTTAGGGAATGAAGTCATAAGATTTTAGTAACGTTTGCTGCAGTTATGTATGAACAACAAGAACTAATTATTTAACCTAAGGTGTATTGGTGGAATATGGTTGCTAAACAAAAGAAAGAAAAATACTTGCCTCATTCAAAGTTTTAATCATGTGTAAACAAGAATGATTAAATTTATTTTGAGTAAATAAAATGCATATAAAGTATATCAATGTTTTTAAGTACAAGTAAGATTTTTGCTAGTGCCTATTTACTTATTGGTCAACCCTCTTTAATTTATGCTTGTATATTAAGTTAATCTGGTATTTCTATAAAGGCATAAAACTTACTTATTGAAAAGTAAGAAAGTCTGTATCCAGCGATGTGCAGGCATGGTAATCTGAGGGTTCTTGGTTCAATTACCACTCATTCTGTACATTTTTAACTCCCTGTGACACAGTATTTGTTTCAATAATTTCAGAAATTATTATCCATCAGAGATTTATTTCCATTTCATACAGCATATGTATATATACATAATGTACATGTAAATGAAAGAAGGTCATGAGCAAAAAATTATACACAAAAAAAATTACAACGGACCTGCAATCCAGAGACCCGTGGTTCGAGTCTTGGCTGCAAAATGCCAATTTTTTGCCCCTATGGTAATAATAGTGATGACATCACAATAAAAGTAAAAAAAACTAAATTATATAAGGCAAATAAGCAGGAAGGAAACACAAAGGCCGCTGTGATGTAGTGGTTAGCATACTGGACCGGCAATCCAGAGACCCGTGGTTTGAGTACCGGCTGCGACATGCTGATTTTTCTTGCGATTTTGCTATGTATAATTTCCTGCTCATGGTACAGAATAAAAAACTTTTTGTAATTCACTGTAATAAAGTTGGGAGTGCTAATTGGGATCTATACTGTAATATAAAACAGAATACTGTTGATAGTAAAACATATCATTATATTGATTCAATATGTACTTTAACTCTCATTTATTTTTGGCACAGATACAATGTAAACAACATTTGTCCTTGAGACATGTTTTCTTTAATATTAATGAATAAGCATTTTGCATGATGATAAAGACTTACCAAGGTCACAGACTACTTTAAAAAAAAAATATTACATGTATAGTTATGTTTCTGTTAAATGATTAGTCATATACATTAACTGATATAATGACATTGATAGATCTGAGATAGAAAACTTAGTTATCAGTAATTATAAATTAAAGTGACTCCACAAGAGGTTACTTGAAGGGACCGAAAATATTTTTTTTTTTCAAGATTTTAGTACAACCTGTATGCAAAATTTCAGATCATTTACTCACTTTGCTTTCCATAAATCATCAGTTTTTATTGCACAGATTGACCCCCATATTGAAAAGAATTGCAATGATTTTCACTTATAATGCGCACGCTGACCCATTATCAATTAAGTACAGAGTATATTTACATATTTTCGTTGCATAGTTTTCATTTTAAGTGCACCCGTTTATTTTTGCAAAAAATTTCAAATTTTATGATTTTAGGCTATTAGACCTCCAGAGTCAGTCCCTTTAACTCTAAGCTAGTGTCCGTTATTTGTGATTTGTCTGAGTCACCAGACAGACCAGTCTGCATATCCAGACTTTATACTGTTGGCTGCATAATTTTAAATTCTACTGCACTGGACCACCTAGGGTTAATGAGATGAACATATGATCTTATCAGATGACCAAGCAGAACGCTAAAAGTATCCTACATGTATCAGAGTGGCCGCAGTTAATTTCTCTTAATTTATGTGTTTATGTGTTATTACTAGAATTAAGATTTATTCAATTATTCTTGTTAAATGGATTAATACAATTACTTAATAACTTCTGTAAAATGGATTAAATACCGCATTTATTTGTTCATAATTTTATTTAATGTGACAATATTCTGAATATAACAACTGACTTCTGTTTTTGATTTGATTATCCATTTAGGCCTATATTTTCCACATGGATTGCTACAAGAATGGGTAAAGTGTTCAGTTCCAGTAGGGAACTCCACTTTTCAAGAAGCCCAACAGTCGCTATATAACCAGTACAGTAGGTACTGAGGCGTACTGCGACGACCCCAGAGTTTGCGGACAGTAGGTCCAATATTAACTCTGCAACAGATTAGGAAAATCTGTTTCGTCATCATGGAATGATGGACAACAGTATGAAGCCTTGGCCAGATGATTGACCTTCCAAGTTTTATGCTACAACTACTACTACAACAACAAAGACAATATTGCTTTAACTTGAAGTTAACAAGACATAAAATTAATATTATATTACATGTATTTAACAATTTAATTTCTTGAGCCACGAACATACCAAAGTCATGTTTCTTCGGCTAACGAAATGCACATATCACAGCTTATAATTTATAAGACTCTTATTCTATTGGTTAAAAAGATCTGCAGTATCTTACTGTTTTAAATCTTACTTGATATAAGAAAATATCAGCTCTTGCTCACAAAATATAATTCTATGTTTAGTTGGGTAACTGTATGATAAGTTAAAATAAAAATTATTTGAATTAAAGATATAATATGCTCAAATTCATTGTATTTTTAAATATTGATAATTGTATTTTTAAATATTGATAATTGCTACACAGGCTCCTTTTAAATATAAAATAAACATGTTTTGACTACACACTAAGAAGATATCTTATGTCTTAAACTCTACACAATTTAGAGGCACAATAAGAATGTATAGTGTCAATAAAAAAAAAAATTAAGAAAGGGTCAACTTTACTTATATGCAGCTTCCCATAATTTCTGGGATAAAAATATTTTACTCTGAGATGAGTATAGTATATCTTTAACATGCTTTGGGCGGAAAAACAGTAAGTTGCATTTTACAGTATCATCCTTGAACAGGCTCATTCAAACCAAGCCTGCAACATTTTCATTTTTGCTGTTTTGGGCGTATTGTAGTGATTTTATTTGCACAAAAATGGTTTTATATTAGAGGAATATTCTGGAGCAAGTTTTGCATAGAAATGTCAAGAACTGTGTACTCCAAATTTGTTATATAAAATGGAATATGCTGAAGCTAGTTTTGCATAGAAATGTCAAGAACTGTGTACTCCAAATTTGTTATATAAGAAGGAATATGCTGAAGCTAGTTTTGCATAGAAATGTCAAGAACTGTGTATCCAAATTTGTTATATAAGAGGGAATATGCTGGGGCTAGTTTTGCATAGAAATGTCAAGAACTGTGTACTCCAAATTTGTTATATAAGATGGAATATGCTGGAGCTAGTTTTGCATAGTAATGTCAAGAACTGTGTACTTCAAATTTGTTATATAAGAGGGAATATGCTGGAGCTAGTTTTGCATAGTAATGTCAAGAACAGTGTACTCCAATATTGTTAAATAAGAGGGAATATGCTGAAGCTAGTTTTGCATAGAAATGTCAAGAACTGTGTACTCCAAATTTGTTATATAAGAGGGAATATGCTGGAGCTAGTTTTGCATAAAATGACAAAACCGTGTACTACAAACTAGTTATCTATATAAAAGTGAATATGCTGGAGCTAGTTTTGCAATAAATATCCAAACCTGAGTTTCTCCAAATTTGTTATATAAGATGGAATATGTTGGAGCATGTTTTGCATAGAAATGTCAAAACCCGCAAGTACTCCAAATTTGTCATACGAGAAGGAATATGTTGAAGCAAATTTTGCATAGATTGTCAAAACCTGAATACTCCAAATTTGTTATATAGGAAGATCAAATATGCTGAAGAAAGTGTTTTGCATAGAAGTGTCAAAAACTTGGAGTCCAAATTTGCTCTTGGGAAAACGCACCATTTGGAGCTGATCTTATGAAGGAATTGTTACTTTCCTTACGAAAAGTAAACACATATTAAATAACATTGGTTGTATATAGTGTGAGGTAAGAATCTCAGGGGCAACCATGAGTACATATACAAGAAAGAAAACAGAATGTGAGTATGCATTGTTTTTACAATACTCTAGAAACACTTTGAAATACCCTGAACATTGTAAGTTGATAACTTTCAATATTGGTACTTGCTTGAGACGGTTCAATAATGAAATTTATATTGAATAATTCTTTACCTGTATATCTCAAGTAAAGTACACTGACAATGTCGATTGTAAAGAACTTGCTTTTATTTTTAAGAAAATGACATGTCATTCGAAATGGAAGAACATGAAATAAGATATGAAAAGTTTTGAAGAAAATAAACATTTAATCACTAAAATATTTTTTAAGATCAGCTCCAAATGGTGCGTTTTCCCAAGAGCAAATTTGGAGTCACAGTTTTTTACATTTCTATGCAAAAACTTTCTTCAGCATATTTGATCTTCCTATATAACAAATTTGGAGTATTCAGGTTTTGACAGAATTGCAAATGATCTTCACTTATATGGCCGCACACTGACCCCCCCCCCCCCCCCCCCCCCCCCCAAAAAAAACCCAAAAAACAACAAAACAAAACATTTAACAAAAAAAAAAAAACACATTATCAATTAAGTACAGAGTATATTTACATATTTTCGTTGCATAGTTTTCATTTTAAGTGCACCCGTTTATTTTTGCAAAAAATTTCAAATTTTATGATTTTAGGCTATTAGACCTCAATGGAGTCAGTCCCTTTAACTCTAAGCTAGTGTCTGTTATTTGTGATTTGTCTGAGTCACCAACAGACAGACAGACCAGCCTGCACATCCAGACTTTATACTGTTGGCTGCATAATTTTAGATTTTTATAGTGTTATCTGAACTGGTTGTATGTGTATGGTCTATAGTTGCCAGCAGGATATCATATATAGGCATCAGTTTGAATGTAATCAATGCAGTAATTACCTTATAAACTCACCAATAAGTCTGTCCTCGTATAAGACATGGTCCCAATTTTACCTTCAAATCAACGGTTTTTGCTTTGACCCTCTATAAGTCTTTTTTTCCAACTTTTTCTATGAAATTTCATTTATGAAAAGTGAACATAATGGACAAGTATACACAAGATTTTAAAGGATAGGACACATTTATATGGAATATTTTGTTCATAATAAATGTTATTTCTTTATTTTTTCAGGGTTAAAACAGCTTTACAGCAGTTTACCTGACAAAGTGACAGTCAAACTGTACTAATTGTTGACCTCTCAACTTTCTATGTATGAACATTGGATACTCAATATAGATGATGATCAAGTTGAAAAGCTGAAAACTTTTTATGTGAACTATGGATTGAACAAATGGACGATTAAAGTGAAAATGTTTATACCTGTACATGTATGTAACATTAATAGTGGATGATTGGTTCTATTTAATTTATGAAAGTGTTTCATGTTAATGAATATATTGATATTTGTTAAAAGTTTCAGATAGGTGTTGTTATGTTGTTAATTTTTTTTCTGTTCTGTTTCACAGATTCATTATTGAATGGTTTATTTAACAAAATGAATTAACATGCTCTGGTGAATTCAAAATGGCTTACAGTCGTGATACAGAGGGTAAACTACAAAAAAACCCACAACCAACCAATGAATTAATGCCAAAATCAATACCATGTGTAAAAAACAAAGTTAACGAGCTTCATTTATTAAATAAGCTGAATTTTTATTTATTTAGATTCTTGTTTTTTGGTTGACCAGATTGCGTCCTGTTACATTTTCAAAGTGTTTTAGTAAAAAGACTATTGGTGGCAGTTTCGAGGATTGGATGAGTCACTTTGGTATTTGTATATTAATGACAAAAATTTATTTCTTATTCTATAAACAATATGTCTGTGATCAAATAAAGTTCCAATGCTACACCCATATGATTTACAAATATAAAATTTCCTCCTGCTATGCATTTCCTTGGGGAAATTGTATCCCATATATGGGAATTTTAACAAAATTGGGAACAATTTTTTGTGTGTATGTGAGCTGTTAAGTGCTACTAAATTATTATGCCCCCCTTCGAAGAAGAGGGGGTATATTGTTTTACTAATGTCGGTCTGTCTGTCGGTCCGTCAGTCTGTCGGTCTGTCCGTCGGTAGACCACATGGTTTCCGCTGATTATCTTGAAAAATATTTATCACAAAGTCTTCATATTTCACATAGTGATTGGTCATAACTAGTAGATGACCCCTATTGATTTTGGGGTCACTAGGTCAAAGGTCAAGGTCACAGGGGCCTTAAATGTCAAAATGGTTTCCGCTGATTATCTTGAAAAGTATGTATCACATAGTCTTCATATTTCACATAGTGATTTGTCATCACTAGTAGATGACCCCTATTGATTTTGGGGTCACTAGGTCAAAGGTCAAGGTCACAGGGGCCTTAAATGTCAAAAGGGTTTCCGCTGATTATCATCACAAAGTCTTCATATTTCACACAGTGATTGGTCATCACTAGTAGATGACCCCTATTGATTTTGGGGTCACTAGGTCAAAGGTCAAGGTCACAGGGACCTTAAAATGTCAAAATGGTTTCCAATGATTATCTTGAAAAATATGTATCACATAGTCTTCATATTTCACATAGTGATTGGTCATCACTAGTAGATGACCCCTGTTGATTTTGGGGTCACTAGGTCAAAGGTCAAGGTCACAGGGACCTTAAAATGTCAAAATGGTTTCCGCTGATTATCTTGAAAAGTATTTATCACAAAGTCTGGGTGCCGCAAAGTCTTCATATATCACATAGTGATTGGTCATAACTAGTAGATGACCCTTATTGATTTTGGGGTCACTAAGTCAAAGGTCAAGGTCACAGGGGCCTTGAATGTCAAAATGGTTTCCGCTGATTATCTTGAAAAGTATTTATCACAAGGTCTTCATATTTCACATAGTGATTGGTCATATTTAGTAGATGACCCCTATTGATTTTGGGGTCACTAGGTCAAAGGTCAAGGTCACAGGGGCCTTAAATGTCAAAAGGGTTTCCGCTGATTATCTTGAAAAGTATTCATCACAAAGTCTTCATATTTCACCTAGTTATTGGTCATAAGTAGTAGATGATCTCTATTGATTTAGGGGTCATTAGGTCAAAGGTAAATGTCACATGGGCCTTAAATGTCAAAATGGTTTCCGTTGATTTTTCCATAATTGAACACTTCCATGTACCCATTTTTGGCAAGTTTCTGTAACAAAATTACCAATTATGTGAGTCAATGGCTAGAAAGGGGGGTATATGTGTCGTTCGACATTCTTGTTTCTTTATACTTCTGATGTTGAAGGAATTTCACTATAGTCTTTAAGAAATTTTATGTAATGCCGGAAAAAATACTTTTTTTTCAAATTTAATGATTTTTGTCAGAGTTATGGCCCTTAAGTGATTTTTATTTTTTAAAGTATTGTACCAATTACTTCTCTTATACCACTTATGCAATTTTAATGAAACTTGACAGGATCGATTGGTACCTCAATTACTTGGGCATATTTAACAGGCTTTCCAGTTGAATGATTTTTGGTTGAGTTATGGCCCTTGAATTAAAAAAATACAACACATTTTGGCCTGTTAATGATTTTTGTGTTACACAGTAGCTGCAACATGCAATTGGCTATAATCAGTTGACATGTGTGATCACTGAACACTCTTGTCCCTACATCATGTATTATAGTTTTTTGGCAATCAGTTTAAAATACGTTGGATTCAACAATTGTTGATTCACTATAAATTATGTGTATTGTAAGATTATTTGTGCTGTATTGTATAAACTGTTTCTTTTATTTCAAGTTGGAATATTGTATACATTAATTAAAGTAAATTTATCCATTATGAAAGATCTTTAATACTGTGTTTAAAGGGACTCCACTAAGGGTTTATAATATAGAGGGAACAAAAAAAAAATTGTCTAGGTAATTTGATGTTGGACCAATAACTTGGGTAAAAAATTATAGATTATCATTTTATCAACAAGTATATTAATTTTATATATTATCTTTTGTGTAGTGTTTTTTTAGTGCTCCAGTTGATTTATGACATGTTTTCAAATTTTATGATTTTAGACTATTTGACCCACAGCTGAGTTCCTTTAATAATGTTGATGGTAGTTAGTATATTTTGTGACAACAAACCATAGAAGAAATATATATTTTGTATTGATGTTTGTAACTTTGAAATACATGATTCAATATTACATATATACATTTATTATATACTTTTAAATGAAATATTGAGAAATATTGATGAAATAAAATGCGTATTTTCATTTTCCGTATTTTCACTGTAAAAATTTATTTTTCACTGCAGTGAAACATATTTTCCGTATTTTCACTGGTGTCTTGCCGGACTACTTTCTTTTAAATTCTGCCAGTACTCAAAATTTAAGGGAAAGTCTTCCAAATTTTAATGTCCAGAAAGAGAAAAATGTATATAATAAACAGAAAATTCAAGTTTTTTCTATAAATACATGATTTAATTTTCATCTTGTGGCATGAAAATTACCATATTTCACTCGTGGCTAATGCCACTCATGAAATATTTATTTTCATACCACTCGATGAAAATAAATCATGTATTTTTAGAGAAAACTTGAATATCCTCTACATAGCATATAATAAATGGTTTTAGAACAAAATATTATCATTCGTCATATAAATATACATACTACATCACATTAGAACAACATTTTGTTTCAACCTAGAAAAGTTTCAACATTTTTTTTTCCAAGAAAAAAATTATAGGAATATCTAAGTCATGCATTTCTGTTGTTTCTTTCAGTATATGAAATACTTCTGGAAAATGTGTGCATAGTAGATTACTTCACTTAAATGTATTGATGCATCAGGATGTCATTTGTGTTATGTCTTATAATGTATTGCAAGATAGAGTAAATAGTATAAAGTGACTTTTTGTTGTTTTTGATTTGTAAAGTTAATCTGACACTGTATTTGATGTTGAACATTCCATGTAAGGCATTAATCATGGTAACTTACAGGAAAATAAATAGTTGTTACTCCAGATTTTGGATATTAAATTAAATTATCAAACTCTGGGTAAAGCCCAAACCTTGTAGGGGCAGTCAAATAACTAAATCCCTGCAAAATGAGCTGGACATGAACATATCCCTTGCCATATTTTATGCCAGACAAAACTGTGAAATTGCAAACTTGGTTTATTAAGCTTATTTTTTTTAAATTATTTTTTAACATGAGATGATATGTATGTGCAAGATGAAGGTCTGTATCTCATAGGTCAAGGTCACATATATAGGTCAAAGCCAAAATTCTGATCTATTTTTCATATCCAGTCAATAACATTGTCATTCTATGAGCACATACCACATAATTTTTGTGTCGCCTCTACGGAGTAGTGGCGACATATAGGGATCACTTCTCCGTCGTCTGTCTGTCCATCTGTCTGTCCGTCACAAAACTTGTCCCGACTACTCCTCATAAACTACTGGTGCAATTTCAACCAAACTTAACAAGAATGATCAGTACCAAGTCTAGTTGTGTATATTGTTGGCATTTTCCGGTTCAATGATTTTCGTCAGAGTTTTGGCCCTTATATATTTTTTAAAAGAATTGTACGGACTACTCTTATACCACTTATGCAATATCATTGAAAGTTACTTTGAAACTTAACAGGATTGATCTGTAGCTCAAGTCCTTGTGCATATTGCTCGGGTTTTCCGGTTGAATGATTTTTGGCAGAGTTATGGCCCTTTGATAAAAAGGTGTTTTTTTCTGTGTGTTGCCAGATACACAAAAGCTTGTCCGGACTACTCCTCATAAACTACTGGTGCAATTTCATCCAAACTTTACAAGAATGATCAGTACCAAGTCTAGTTGTGCATATTGTCATCATTTTCCGGTTCAGTGATTTTTGTCAGAGTTATGGCCCTTTAATAATTTGTATTTTTTAAGTTTGTCCGGACTACCTCTCTTATACCACTAATGCAATTTCAATGAAACTTTACAGGATTGATAGGTACCTCAAGTACTGGTGCATGTTTAACAGATTTTCTGGTTGAATGATTTTGGCTGAGTTATGGCCCTTTGATAAAAAGGTGTTTTTTTTTTTTTGTGTTGCCAGATACACAAAAGCTTGTCCGGACTTACTCCTCATAAACTACTGGTGCAATTTTATCCAAACTTTACAGGAATGATCAGTACCAAGTCTAGTTGTGCACTGTCCGTCTGTCTGTCCGTCTGTCACAAAATTTATCCCAACATGAAATTGGCCATCATGAGGCGACACATATGATTACTGATCGGTCTTGTTTATATTATACAAACTTTCAACAAAAACAACAGAGATATTGTTACAGTCATGTCAGCATTTTCTGTTGCAATCGGCAAATTAAGTTCTTGGTGTATTGTCTTCATACTTAGCCACAACACCCCTTGGGACAAGACCTTCAAATAGACCAAACTGACCTTGACATT